GCTAGGGGCATTTGTTACATACTAAAATTGTCTCATTTGTCATAGAAATACAATAAAGTACAAATTAAGTTATACTACTCATGAGAAGAGTATTGTACATGAATAAACAATATATTAAGTTTTTTTTTCGTAATATATTGCATAATGTATTAAAATACATAAATCAATTTTTCATGCTACGAGGGCTAGCTAACTTGCGTGCCAAAACTTGAACTCTCGCATTTATTCGATTTTTATAATAATAATTTTATTTGTCATATTTTTATGAACATGGGACTTTATTTAATGATTTTGAATCTAATTTGTCCAAAAAATTACATTATTTTATTGCACCTATTTAGATTTTTTAAATACTTAATTTTTTATTGTTATAAACAATTATAAAAATTGTTATTGTGTTTATGTGTGCTTAGCTGTTCACAAAAATTATCGATTACTTTTTAGCATTGTGGGGTACATGGGTACATCACTACGCATCTAAATATTATTAGTAAATTATTTTAGTCAAATTCACATATGTTTAGTTTTTTTTTTTTTTTTATTAAAAATAGGCTCACTCTTGACCTTCATCTTACTTTAAATGTATAGATAAGGTCTATGATGTACCGAGTTTGCCCAGGAGAAGCCTGTTGACACGCACCTTAAAAAGTTTCAAGTTGTACGCTCTCGGAAAAACAGACGCAGGCAGGGCATTCCATTTCTTGGCTGTGCGCAATATAAAAGATGATGAATAGCGCTTAGTGCGAGTGGTCGGAATGTCAACCAAGAAAGGATGGTATCCTGCAGTACGTCTGGTGTTCCGATAAAAGAATGGCGATGGCGGTATGAGACTGTGGAGCTCGTGGGCACACTCCCCGAAGTACAGTCTGTAGAAAACCGACAGACAAGCAACTTGGCGACGGTGTGCTAAGCTGTGAAGCTTAGTTTTCACAAGCTTTTCGTCGCCGATTAGCTTTTTAGCTCTGCGTTCCACCGAGTCAAGAGCGGCAAGTTGGTATTTTGCAGAGCCATCCCAAAGGTGACTGCAATACTCCATGCATGATCGGACTTGAGCTTTGTATAAATTGAGAAGCTGTCCAGGCGTGAAGTATCGCTTAACCTTGTTTAGGATACCCAGTTTTTTTGGCCGCAGTCTGTGCCTTCGACTCGATGTCTTCGCCAAAGTTAAGGTTTGCCTTCAACCTTATACCGAGAAGCTCTAGACTGTCGGATACTTCCACATGTGCACCACGGAAAGTAGGAGTCAGGCTGAATGGACTCCTTTTTGCAGAGAACAAACAGACCTGCGTTTTGGCGGCGTTGAAGTCAACCAGATTGTCGTCACCCCATTGTGACACAAGACTTAAGGTTGCATTTGTACGCTCCACCATGGCCTCTCTCAAAGTGCATATTGTTACCCCTCCGTCCCTTGCACCGGACACATAGCTCTCTATGACTGTGCTGTCATCTGCATACGCAACAATACCTGGTGAAAGCAGGTCATTGATGTGCAGCAGGAAGAGAGTCGCAGAGAGAACAGACCCCTGTGGAACTCCGGCTTCGATAGTCATTGAATCAGAAGAGCAACCGTCAACGACTACTCTGATCGACCGTTCGTTTAAGAAGTCGGATACCCAGTTACAGAAGTCGGAGGGGATGCCGTAAGCAGGAAGCTTGCTCAGTAGACTTGCGTGCCAAACCCTATCAAATGCCTTCGAAATATCGAGTGAGACTGCTAGAGCTTCACCACGGTTTTCGATGGCCTCGCCCCAGCAGTGCGTGACATACACAAGAAGGTCCCCAGTAGACCGTCCCCGGCGGAAGCCATATTGACGGTCACTAAGGAGATCATTAGATTTGAATGAAAAGTGTTAAGTTTTCTTATGTGTAATAATGTTTAGTTTGTTCTTTTATAATTTAAGTTACATTTATATACAGAAACGTTAATTACAATGCAACACGAGCGTCTGTAAAAAATAACCTCAATTTTTCTCTCTTATAAGAAATCCATCCGAATTTTAATTACAGTGGCTTATTTTCAAGATTTATTGATGCATGTTTTTAAAGTAAGGACTATTCTGTATTTCAGTATTATTTTTATTAAGAATCCACACATTATAACTCGGATGTTTGTTTTGAAAATTGCGCGACGAGCTGCGCAAGTACACCGAACGAGCCGCGAGTGCTATAAAGTTTTGAATTTGATTGTAACTAACAACTAATATAAATAAATCAAAGAATGGTTTTGTGCGATTACATGTTTATTCATAAAATAGTGTTTCAAATTTTGTGTAAATATAGACCCTGTATTGTCAGAAATCAATATAAATACAACAACTAGTAAACATTCAGCTAACACTCATATATTGTTAGCTTATTTATAATTCATTAATAGTTAAAAGTGTATTTTACATATTGTCATAAATGCTCAGTTTATTTAAAAACCTTAAACAGCAAAAACATTTTAAATCAGTGCTATATAATTTGAATTATGAGTGTTTTTTAATGTAATGGTTGTATCAGGGAAAAATGTCACGCGGGCCTCGGTGTATAACGAGTGTTGCATGTCATTTGTCAAAAAGCGCGGGGTTCTAGTGATTAAAAAGTAAGTTATTGAGTCGGAAGTATGCTATCCCAGAACTAGTAATGATTTTTCTCCTCTCTCTTTGATTTTTCTCCTTATGTTCCTGTGAGACTTAGCGAAGGTATTGAAGAACGCGCCAATGTATGAATATTTAAACATATATTCAAGGACGGCTCGTAAAAGGTCTTTAAAATTTCGCTTACTTTAGTTTAATTTATTTCTGAATAAAATTTAAATATATTTATGAATTTACGTTTTAATAATTATGATATTAGTGAACGTACGTATTATTAAATTTCAAAGTTTACATTATAACTTTGAAATGCATTTTCATTTGTCTATTATGACGCATTAGGCTCGTAATAAATGTTATCGATGTTTTGTTTATATACATTGACATCACGGGTTAAAGGCTACTTAGGTTCCTAACGTTTTATCTTTAGTTTATCAGTTCACGTTGTACCTTTAATTTTTCCTTAATTAAATTAATACTTTTATTTATGTATACCTTAGAAAAAAGAAAACATTTTTATCTACGTGAACAAGCAACTTATCGACAATATTTTATAAATAATTACCTATTGGGGAATCTCAAACGTACTTAATATAAACTACCTGAAGTTTAAAAATTATGTCAGTGTCTTTAATAGCACTCAAAAACAACTGTACGAATTTGTACCCTGAGATATTGTTGTTGTACGAATGATTATACGAAAATCGAAATAAATTCAAAACTTGTGAAATAAATTTAAATGTTTACTTATCAGTAGTGGTTACAGACTAAAATGCACACGCACTAGGAGTTACAGATAAATTTTATATAGAAGAGAAACACGAAATAAAATATTTTTGAAAATCTTAAACCTACCGCAAAAAAACAGCACAACAAATTATATACATACATAAAACCTTACACAAAAAATGTTACTGTATTTTTTTATTATTGGTAAATAAATTCTAAATATTTTACGAAAAAAGAATTTAACTTATTTTCTATTCAATTTAATTCTCTTGATACTGGCTTCAAAGCGTGCGCGTGCTAGTTATGCACGATGATCTTATCCTATTTCTATTTCACTTACCATTTACTAGTACAAGTATCCGAACATTTGTCATTCCATAACTGTCAATGTCACTTATGACATTTTATCGATTTGATGGACATAAATGTGACATTCGCCACTCGCCAGTCGCCAGTGCCACCGCCAGTTGCGAATTACTGTTCAGTTAAAGCGGTGTTGCTGATTAATTGTAATAATTAAGTTTCGAGCGATAAATCATTTTTTATTATTCCACGTGTAAATAAACAGACGTTATATAGCATGGATACGTGCGATAACCGCGCAGAAGGCTGGAAGTATTTAAATAAACAATTTTTTGGTGATGGTCAGTATAATTTTTATACTTTAATGATCGAAGGAGAAAGGCTTAGTCTAATTAGACACAACCGCCATAAAGGCGATAACATATTGCTATATTAAATCTGATATTATAATATAGCAATATTTGTAATATAACTGATAAAGCGATGTTGTTAATTTTGAATGGAAGATTGGATAGTTCAAATTAGAATAGATAAGGACGATGTCGTTGCACATCGGACTTGTCATATCGCAAAATCCTATTTTAATATCTGTAATACTAATTACTACTTTGATAAACTGGCTAATTAATCATGTGCTGATCATGTACTGGCTGGAATGTTTTGTTTATCTTGGTAACTTTGATAGGTTTATATATTTACTAGCGATTCATCCTCGCTTGGCACGGATTCGTCCCTAGGTTGATTCCACATATAAACTTTCATCCCAATTTTCACCCCTTTAAGGGATGATTATCGGGATAAAAAGTATCCTATTTCCTTCCCAGGGTCTCAAACTCTCTTCTTGCCAAATTTTATCTAAATCGGTTCAGTAGATCCAGAGATTACCCCCAACAATGTCACAAACTACTTTTGAATTAATAATGATAGGGCATACATGATAATTTAAAATATATTATAAGCTATAAATAGTTTATTTACCATGAATAATGTCATAGAGTTCCTTCTCAAATCATATAACCTTGAATCATTTTAAAGCAATTGCTTGCATTGATTGCTATATCTATCGGCTTCATCAATTATAAGCTTTAAAGTTGTTACAGTTCTACAAGATAAATTAAATAGGTTTGTTGAAACTATATGAATAATGTTATTATTTTTAATTAAAAATCAGTTCTGTCTAATAATTGTCTTTATAATCTTGTTTATATTGTAAAATTATTATAATATAGAATTTTCTTTTTTATCTTTAGTTATATTAAAAAATAAACCATTCAAATGAACAATTGTATACCTGCAATATTTATTTACTAAAAAATGTTAAAAAATTAATTATTTAAACTAACCACAATATAAAATATAATAACTTTGACATAATCAATCATTATATTGCAGGTGAACGTGCTAACTATGTGAACATTCCTCATGTAATTGCAATGGTCGGGCTGCCTGCTCGGGGCAAGACCTACATCTCAAAAAAGCTCTCACGATATCTTAATTGGATAGGCATTAACACCAGGGGTGAGTTATATATTTTTGTTTACTTTTTTATGCTTGATATGAGGCATTAAATACACCAACATACAAATATTCTTTTCTAATTTACCTTTAATAATGCACAAAAATGAAATCAACTTCAAAATAATATTAATAGACAAATGGACATAGTTAGAGCTTATAGCCTAGTTATAACCAAAAATAAACAATGAAACCTGTTCATTACTGACATAGATATTGTAACACATATGTATATAAAAACAACTGCAAAATAACTATAAAATTTTATTTGTATAATATATGATGTATATTTTAAACATTACACATATACCTATGTATATGTTTTATTATAATTATTTGTATCTGAAAGTAAAGAACATGCTAAAGTGAAATAATAAAGAATTAAAAAGCAAATTGTGCAAAAAATATGATCCTCATGACATTAAATATTTAGTTACATAATGTACTAGCGACTCACCCTCGCTCCGCTCGGGTTCGTCCCTGCTTACGATTTAACGTTTAGTATAGATTTCTCAGAGATAAGATGTTTTCACGCAGTGCAAAGTATCCTATATATTGACCCAGATAACCAGCTATCATTGTACCAAATTTCATAAAAATACCCCCAGTGGTTTTTCTGTGCTGTGTTAACAGATGGACAAAAATTCTAAAAATTATAGATTCGGTCTTTATATCGATAATAATGTCTATTTTAATAAGATTTTTCATAAAATATTTAATGTACATATTCGGCTTAGTTACAATTTTATAATAATATGTATGGATATGTGGTGTATTAAACAAACTGTTACATAAGTACTTCAAAGTAACATGAAACCGCATGAAACATAAGTTTCTACGCTATAATTACCATTTTTCCTTATTTCCAGTATTTAATCTAGGCGAGTATAGACGTCACGCGACCACCGCGTACACGAGCCATGAGTTCTTCCGAGCGGACAATAAAGAGGCAATGGCGATACGGCAGCAATGTGCGCTGGATGCCTTGCATGATGTCTGCGAGTGGCTGGTCAAAGGAGGAGAGGTGGCTGTAAGTAGTCTTTCTTTCTCTCTTTTTCTTTCCTCCTTTCTTTTTCAATTTATTAGTTTTTTTTAATTTCAAAATTAATTCACTCATGTTTTGCATTTTCTCTTAACTTTGATATATGTATTATTGTAATATCAGAAACTATTATTAGAGTTATATTAGTGATTTGTTTTCGTATATATTTTGTTAATACCGTTTGTTTCCAAAATAAAAGAAAATAAAAACAGTGTAGTGTATAGATGTATCGCCTATATAAAACATAAGTTATTAATAAAGTAACTAGGGACGTACCCTCGCTCCATTCGGGCTCGTCCATAGTTACGTTTTAACGTTTAGCTCAGAGATGAGATATTTTCCCGCAGTAAAAATTACCCTATATATTGACCCGGACAGGTATCGTCATCCCAAATTTCATTAAAATCTGTCCAGTGGTATTTTCGTGATGCGGTCAGATAGACATACAGAAATTCTAAAAATTATAAATTTGGCCTCTTTATCAATAATAATGACTATATCAGCAAGATTTTCCAAAAAATATTTAATGTACAGATTCAGCTTAGTTAGAATTTTATTATACGTACCTATACATATTTTACTTATCACATAAGATAATTGTAACAGTATTTAATATTGTTATTGTTTTTTTTTAATGTGTAAGGGCAAAAATATGTCATGTTATAAAATCAGGATTTTTTTTAAATATTTATCTTAAATTTGATAGAACGCAATTTGAGAATGGAAAATGCCTAATACATAGGAATGTTACATATAAATAAAACAAAGAATAAATTAACAGCACAATTACATTTTTATAAACAAGCTTTTATTTAAATGCTCTAAAATGAAGACAATAAACTTTAAATTACTTAAATCAAATCCAATAATTTATTACAACTCACATAATCTATCTATACTTATTATAAAAATAAGTCCCCCGGCCGCGTCTTTCTGTCCTCCTGTCTGTCCTCCTGTCTGTCTGAACGCGATAAACTCGAAAACTACTGAACGGATTTTTATACGGTTTTCAACAATAGAAAGAGTAATTCTTGAGGAAGGTTTAGGTATATAATTTATTATGCTTTTATGTAAATTAGCTGAAATACGGCGACAAATGTTGAAGAGGTCGCAAAAAATCTCGCCAAATGGGAACTTTCCACGCGAACGCCGCGTAAACTAGCAAAGATACAGTTAAGTAATGTACTAGAGAATTCAAAATCTATAAAAATGCTACAAAAAAGTCCGCGATAGCATATCTCTATCTCTTACGGTTGACTTACAATAACCACTTTTATGTTAACATTTTTAATTAAAAACATTACGTTATTTTCAAAGTTATTTTCTTTAGTTCGGTATTAATCCTTATCCAAATGAATATTTTAGTTAGCTTAGTCATTTAATGCAGATTAAAATTGCTCTTTACACTAAATCAATCAGATGAATAGTTTTTGAGATATCGTTGTTAGAAGTAATTAGTAGCGAAACATTTTTAATGCTTGGCGAGCATTGAGATGCCTACGGCGAGTCCATCCCCTCTGCCCCGCATCGCTCGACCGCCTGCTCAAGCTATATAAACCGGGCGATGTAGCGCGCGATCCTAGGATACTTTTTACCGCGGGAAAATATCTTATTTCTGAGGAAAAATACAAAAACTGCAATGTAAGAGTATACTAATATGTAACACCTAAGAATTTAGTTTTTGGTCATCTGAACGCGGGCGGAGCCGCGGGCAATGCTAGTATTTATATAATATAAAAATTTGTCGCAAATAGTTGAACAAGAATATAATATTTTAGGTAAATCTCGCTTCTGTTACCAGATTTGACCCGAACAAACAAACAAACAAATAAATAAAAGCTTGTAAACAAAAAATTTCTACAGCCAATCATTCAAGAACTTCAAAGATACAACATCTATAAGGATATATAAAATTGAAGGTCTGTTTGTAATGTCAAAATAACAGCTTTATACTAAATGCATATGGAATTATATAATATGGTAGGTGAATTATATAAGAAAAACACTTTTTTTTTAATTTTTATCTGTCTGTTTGTTCCGGCTAATCTCCAAAACGGCTGGACCGATTTAGACGTGATTTTCACTAGCAAATAGCTGATGTTATAAAGACTAACTTAGGCTACTTTTATTTTAGAAAAAAAATAGGGTTCCGGTTATAAAAATTAAAACATACCTAGAGACGCACTCGAGCGAAGCTAGTTCTTTAATATATGCTAATAAAATAAAACAGAAGTATATCCGCTCTGTTTTTTTTTTTTGAACCCTATATTAACATTCACATCTATCTGCCATACAGGTGTTTGATGCAACCAACTCGACCATGGAGAGACGGAGGATGATCCGTGACATCGTTGTTCACAAAATGGGCTTCAAGTTGTTCTTCGTGGAATCCATTTGCGACGATCCACGGATCATCGAACAGAATATAATGGTTTGTTATGTTTTTTTTGTATTTAACCGATTTCAAAAAAGGAAAAGTTTAATTTTCATAATTATTTTTAAATCAAGTTTATATGCCTTATGTACTGTGAGCACTTTTGTGTGAGTTTGCTTTCTCCAACTTTTTTTTAAAGAAGCACTTATGTTGTTTATAATAATACATTATTACATTAAAATAGCATCATTCTAAAATCGAACTTGTATCCATCTCCATTGCAAGACCGTCAGATCAGATAGAATTAATTATACAGTGTGACAGCATTTTTTTTACATCATTAATTTTGGGTTTTTTGAATTAATAATATCTAGTTATGTAAGTTAATAAAATACATATCAGAAAATTATTTCACATCCCTTTGTGTATTATATGCAATAAATATGATAATTTTAAGATTTATTTGAATACTTATATAAAAAATGTATCTATATTAATATTATAAAGAGGAAAGATTTGTTTGTTTATACCGAATAAGCTCCGAAACCAATGGACCGATTTAGATAAAATTTTCTAAGAAGATAGTTTGAGACCCTAGGAAGGATATAGGATAATTTATCCCGGAAATCATCCCTTAAGGAGGTGAATGGGGATGAAAGTTTGTATGGGGAATAAACCCAGGGACGAATGGACGGACGTCAAATAAAATTGCTTTTAAGTGAATTATTTAGTTTATCCAAAATATGTTAATGAAAAAAAGAAATTATTTTTCAAATTAATATGATTCTTCCACACATAAAAAATTACATTTAAAAATTAAAATAAAATGTGATATTTTAACTAAATTTTTTACAGTCCATAAGTAAGAAATTAGTGCAAATCACTATTATTAGATTGATGATCATGTTGAATTTTTCATTCTATTTATATGTCACAAATTATCATATTTTTTTGTTATTTAACAATGATGAAATAACATAAGTTTTACAGATATATAGAAAAAACATGACACTGTTATAAGTACTTATGTAATGTCTTTAGGATTATCTATTAATGCCAGCTGTAAACAATGTAATGAACACAATATATAAATGATTATAATTAAAACTAAATATGTAACAGTTCAGTTTTAAACAATCACATGGTAGTTAGAAGTAGGAAAGAATGTTTTTACTCGTAATTTCAAACACAAGGATTTTTTTAAATTCTTGTGCTAATAGAAAACTGCATTAGCCTTGAGTGCTACAGCAATAATTAGTAATTTTACTGTGTATTTTCAAAAGACCTTTCTGAGGTATAGAACAAATTCCTGCATATTATAAAACAAAGTCCCTTCATCGCGTCTGTCTGTGTGAACGCGATAGACTCAAAAACTGGCGAACGAATTTCATATGGTTTTCACTAATGGGCTGAGTGGAAAGGTTTAGATTTATAATTCACTAGCATTGCCCGCGGCTCCGCCCCCGTTCATATGACCAAAACCAAATTCTTAGGTAGTATACTCGTATTAGTATATTAATTGACCCGGATAACCAGCTATTACCATACCAAAATTCTTCAAAATCCCTCCAGTGATTTTTTTGTGATGCGGTCACAGACAGACAGACGAAAATTCTTAAAACTATAGGTTCGGCCTCTGTTAGCGATAATAATGTGTATTTTAATAAAAATTTCCAAAAAATATTTAAAGCACAGATACTGCTTACTTAAATTTAAATGTATCTATAGATGTAACTAATTTATAAAGCCAAAAAGATTGTTTTTTGATCATTTAAACACGGGCGGGGCCGCGGGTAATTTAGTAGTAATTCTAATAAAATCATAGAAAGGTCGAATTTGCATATTCAATTTTTTGGAATTAAAACAACGTATTTTAAAGACACAAGGCGACATCTATCGACAAATATCTAAGTAATACAAAAATAAATATTCATTAAAATAATTTTTTTATGTATAAAATAGTGCTATTGATATACTTTTTCAAGATTAGCTATTTTTAATAGTTTTTGACATATTTAGTAAGTTAACTTGCTAAAATGTATGTAGTGTCATAGTTTTTTTATTCTATCCAGTTTTTGTATTTTTTCTCAGGAATGAGATATTTTTCTGCGGTAAAAAGTCCTATATGTTGACCCGGATAATAAGCTATGACCATACCAAATTTCATCAAAATCCGTCCAGTAGTTTTTCTGTGCTGCGGTAACAGACAGACAGACAGACAGACTTTTAGACAAAAATTCTAAAAACTATAAATTCGGCCTCTGTATCGATAATAATGTCTATTTCAATAAGATTTTCTAAAAAATATTTAATGTACAGATTTGACTTTATATAAATTAAGGTTTTATATAAATTGGCTGTTTGTCGATAATTGTTGAAGATTTAAGAATTAACTGAAAAACAATCTATTACGGAATTATTCCTCGTAAAAGTATATTTTGTACGTACCTAGGAACAATCCCGAGCGAAGCGAGGGCAAGTCACTAAGTATACTACTTGTTTCTTTATAACTTAATACACTTCTTGCAACATTTAAAGCTGCAAAGGAAACTCGAAGAGGAAACTTTGCAGGTTGTAGTAGTAGATTTTAAAATTCATTTACTCATTAATATATTAATTTTTACTTTTATGATCCATATTCTATGAAATTGTTGATTTACACTTTTTTTTAATATATCTACACACAGTTTACATAATATATTGATTTATTTACATAGTTGTAAGTAGAAGGACTTAAATAAAAATATTAATTTTAAATACACTTTTACACTTTTTAAAGGACAGGCACAAGTCTGAGTCAAATTTTACACCTGATTAGAAACTTTTTAATGTAAAAGTTATTAATCTAATTTTTCTTCTACAGGAGGTTAAAGTGAGCAGTCCCGACTACACAAACATACAGAACACAGACAACGTCCTAAACGATTTCCTACTAAGAATAGAACATTATAAAGAAAAATATGAACCGTTAGAAGAAACTTTAGAATCTGAATGCAGTTTTATGAAAATTTATGACACCGGGGAGAAGGTGGTGGTTCATAAACATGAAGGACATATACAGAGTCGAATTGTGTATTATTTGATGAATATTCACATCGTACCTCGAACTATATATTTAACAAGGGTGAGTTTTGCTTGTTTTAACATTTTTTTTTGTGATTAATGTATTTGATAGCTTAAATGGTATCAACAAACTCATGGATTCGGTTTCTGTAGAGATCAAATTTTTTGACTGTGAGGTCTAAAAGAATCAAGTTTTGAGACTAAGTCTACATATTTGTAAAAAGATTAGTAGTATAACTACATACAAACTTGCAACATTTATAACAATACTCCAATAACTTATATACCCATTAACCACGAATTTCCCAACCGCGAATATACCATACTTTTTTATTTTTTATAAAAGGATAAATAAAACTGTAGTCCCGCTGAGTTTTGTTCGGTAGTTCTTAAAGCCTGTGGAATTTCCAAATTGCAACCTTTGACTTTTGAGACATCTAAAACATTAGTATTAACTGTAAAGCTGCCGAAACGTCGGGAAATAAAAAAAAGACAATTATTATTTAAAAACAATTACTTACATAATACCAATATTGAATAAAAATATACGAATATTTATCCCCAGCACGGGGAGAGCATGCACAACCTGGAGGGGCGCATCGGCGGCGACAGCTCGCTGTCGGCGCGTGGCGTGCAATACGCGGGCGCGCTGGCCGCCTACATCGAGCAGCAGAGCATCCCCGGCCTGCGCGTGTGGACCTCGTGGATGCGCCGCGCCATACAGACGGTCAAGGACGTGCGCGCGCCGCAGGAGCGCTGGAAAGCGCTCAACGAGATTGATGCGGTGGGTGGTGTGAGATTGTGCAGCGCTTTTAAGCACTGAATTACGTGCCTTTCATTGGGTGGTGTATATTTGTGCAATGCTTTAAGTGCTTAATGACATGTGCGGTTGTTGGTGTTTGATTTTGCAACGCTTTAAAGCGCTTGATTTATGTGGTAGATTGGCAACACTGAACAAGGAATGCAATTGCAGTGAGATATAGAAATAAAAGTTGATAATATGAGAATAGACCTTACTGTTCAAATTCAGTCATGTTGTTCACTATCAATATTTATTATATAACTAAACCTATAGTAATATGTATATGATTTTTTTTGCTTATATTGACTGGTAATTTTAGATATTGGAAAGATTATCTACAAAAAAGTAAACCAATAATCTCTGCTCTTTCTAAATTAATCCGACTTATACCTCAAAAAATACATTGTTTATTTTTCAGGGCATATGCGAAGAGATGACGTACGCGGAGATCCAACAGAAGTACCCGTCGGACTTCAACGCGCGGGACGCCAACAAGTTCGCGTACAGATACCCGCGGGGGGAGAGCTACGAGGACCTGGTGGCGCGGCTGGAGCCCGTCATCATGGAGCTGGAGAGGCAGGGGAACGTGCTGGTGGTGTCGCACCAGGCGGTCATGAGGTGTCTTCTGGCGTACTTCCTGGATAAGTCTGCTGGTGAGTGGTTGTGATGTTGGTGGTGTTGGTATAGATACAAATGTACGTCAAGGACGCATAAACAGTGCGTTAAAAAGTCGTGTGTAGAATCCCTAAGAGGAAAGGTTGGGAACAATGATAATTATAGAAAAATAAAAAAAATACTATAAGAGTAAACCACAAGTTATAGAGCGGTATACATACAGAGGAGCTCCCTTATCTGCCTCTTACATACCTCTGCTTTGCCTAACAATAGAATGTAAAACCAAGTGAAGCGGGTTCAAATCCCGCGTCTCGCACTTTTTATATTTTTATGTGCGAATCATTTCTAACAGGATTACCACTTACCGTATGGTAAAAGAAAAAATCGTGAAGAAACCCGCATGTCTGAGAGTTCTCTCGAGTTAGTAAGTCCTCGAAAGACATGCTCAGTCCGCTCGCAATTGGCCAGCGTGGTAGACCTGGCCTGATGGCATGATCCTCCTCGTATTAAAGGGAGGCCCGTGCCCAGCTGTGGGACGTTAAAAAGGGCTGAATACATCAATGCATACATTATTAAGCTTTGCCCAGCAATTGGATATTATACTTTTGTACAATGTTCCTCTCCCCCAGATGAGCTCCCGTACCTGCACGTGCCGCTGCACACGGTGATCAAGCTGACGCCGGTCGCGTACGGCTGCCGCGAGGAGCACATCACGCTCTCCGTGGACGCCGTCGACACGCACCGCCCCAAGCCTGCTGTGAGTTATGTCACATTGATCCTATTACCCCATTAATATTATAAATGCGAAAGTATAGAGGGATGTTTGTTACTCAATCACACCAGAACGGCTGAACGGATCTGGATGAAATTTGGCATAGAGATAGATTATAATCTGGAATAGCACATAGATCAATGTACGGTTCCCGTGCGACAGATTTGTCACTTTTCACAGTCGCTAGTCTTTTATAGAGCACGCCACACAATGACTATTATAGGCAAATTTTCGATAAATTTCGGTTACATTCGTGCAATTTTCGTGGGAATTTCTAATTAAAAAATATACAGGCCACGTTACTTGTTGATAATAAAGCTTTTGATAGGTGAAAGAATTTTTAAAATTTGCCCAGTAGTTTTTTAGTTTATCCATTACAAATAAACATACAAAAAATCATTTTTTTCTTTTTATAATATTAGTATACATATAAGACTAACAGTACCCGTGATTTCGCCTGCGTTCAAACTTCCGATCGCTACCAAATTTCACAGGTCACATACACACAAAAAAAAATAAGCTAATATTATGCTATATCTCTTTTAAGGAGAAGCGCACTAGTGCTTAAATAATACAAAATAATAGGTATTATCTTTATTATTCATATTTTATTCTCAAAAATTGTTTGTTAATTTAACTGAATCTACTTGGCCGATTTTAAAAATTCTCTTTGAGTTTTGTAGCCTGTTTATTGAGCTTATAGGATATCTTATATCCCACTATGACCTACGAAAGTATTGTACAAAATTAAAGCCAGACAAAAATGCAAAAATATTTTATGTAGACATAAAATCTCTTAGAAGAACCATCTCTTAGAAGAGATGGTTGGATTGTGATAACACCACTACAGTATAAATGCACTTTTCTAATAATAAAATTAATATTATTAATAAATATCGCCCCGGAAATGCAATTATTTGCTTTTTTTAATAATATTTTTTCTCCCTTGTTTTATACATTTAATCTTCAGATAAAAAGTATAAAAACTTCTTAGAAAATAATTAAAATAGTAGCTATAAATTAAAACCTAATCAATAGGTTTCGCCATTTTGGTTCCATTTGTGATGTATCAAACCCATATACAAGAAACCGCCACCATCTTGGTTTGCCTTATTTATGCCATTTTAAATCAAAATTGATAAACATCCTCACTTTCCTAACAGGACGAAGGTGACAGCACATCTGGCTCTGACGTACGCAAATTCTAATATGACCGATTTGTTGCCATATTGCTTTAATTCGCTTTTTGCTTTACATTCTATTGTTATTAATCTTTAATCTCAGACAAATATAACATGTTAGTTTTGTGCTCACTGTTTAATTAATTTGTGTTTTATATTATACAGATAATAAAGATATAACAAAAAAATATTAATTTATATGGCTTTTTACATATCATAACCTACAAATTTCCTCATACTTAAAAAAAAGCCATTTTTATTTTTAAATTATTGAGCAAAATGCCAACAAACTGGTCAAAATACTTAAGGGATAGTGTAGAAAGTTCATAGCATGGGTAGTTTATATGAAGACGGGATGTTTCAAAATTTTCAAGTTAAGTCACCTAATTAATACATTTGGTGGTGGCGAGATTTGGTTGTGGGATCTTAGATAAGTTGGGTTTTTTTTTAAATTATCAGTTTAATTCATTTTATTTAAGTTTAATTTTTATTTTTCTATCAACTGGATTAAACTATACTTATTCTTTACTCATTATAATAAAAAAATTGGTTCTAACTTGTGTTCATTCATATCTTCATTGATTTATTATTCATAAATATATGTTTCTTTGCAATTGTACTCTTACAGCACTTTGTGGTCTGTGGTGGGTTTAAGTTTCTGGGTTTTTTTTGTTAATTTGACAAATTTTTACTGTATTTTATTAGTCAACTGTATATAATAAAACTAATAACATCTATTTTATTCGCTTTATCCTCAGGTGATACCAGCTCCGCCTATAAAGCCGCCAGTCCCTCTGATACTCAACGGTGAGATGCCCGGTGGGAACAAGGAAAATTACAATAATTAGCATTACTCACAATATATCAAGCAATAAACAATCGTGAAAGTACAGATCTTGCATATGATGGTATAGATTATACTGGTGTCGAATTTGAGACTGAGCTAAGTGAGTTTAGACTAATTCATGTAACCGCATTATAGAAATTAAAAAAAAATATAAATGAAATTAAATTTCATTACCATTTCCATCGTAAATTTGCGCGGAGTTACACGTTTTTACACATGACAATATTTAGTGTAACGCTATTTTAATTATATAAAAGACATTTTTTACAATTTAAGATCTATCTCTTTTTTAAATCTCGATATAAACATGGTGCAAATGATATTTTGACATCTTATTCAACTTTGGAAGTTTGGGATATTAAAATTTATTAAATGCTAATAATATTTTAAAAAAAATTATCATATAATAATCGTCCAAAATATGTATGTTAATTTATATATTAAGGATAATGTATATTAGCACGTTTATGTTTAAAAAGTTCTTTGTATTACTAGTCAAGTAATTACCAATATTGGTATAAAATACCAAGTATTTTCAATCTTGACCAAAGACATTTTTTTTCTTTTTTTGATGTGAAACATCTATTGGCGCGCCTTGGCAGTAAAACCGACTCGTATGCCGTGATGGCAAACGGCAAGGCCATGCAATCATGCCCCTTTTACGCCATCGCTCTCGACTTCGTCGTGTGTGCGCGCGTATACTATACACGCTCCATTATAACTAAATGTATATTCAGTAATTATTATTATAATTAAAAAAAAAAGATTTTATTAACGTAACTATTTTTTCTCTATTTTACTCCATATTTCGTTATAGGTTTTTATTAATTATGAATTCTAATATTAATATAGATGTTTCACATCTGAGACGTCCCATGACGGCCAAATTTTTGGAAAATTCACAATTATTAATGTCTGTATTTTAAATTTGAGTATGTTACGTTGGCTTTTATCTTTGTTGTTATCTGTTATGAATAATATATAAAATGTAGTTTCTTTAATATATTTAGCTTTTGTACAAAATTGTAAATAGTTTCTGACCCGCACGTGTAACTCCGCGCTTATATTTTTATAATCTCGGTAGTACCTACCTACTCTGTAACATTCATGAAATATAAATATGAACTATTATATTGTAAAGAATTTTTACAAAGTGGCTATATGTTAATGTACATTTATAATTTTAATTAATTTAATATTTAAATATAAGTATATTTTAAGCGGGTTCATGTCTTTCATTTATACCTTTATCCGAAATATAAAAAAATGAACAGTATGACACTATACCTAATATATAATGCTTATCATATATTTTATAAAATTATTCTTTATTTTTAAATAAAACTATCTTTTCGGATTTTTCGCGGATTTATTTTGAATTTTCGTTCCCCACGTTTCGAATGCAACGTATGAGTAACGCAAATGTACCGCAACCAAAAATCAAAATAGATCCGCGTAATAATCCGAAAAGATAGTTTTATTTAAAATGTCAAATATTTGTGTAAATCTAAGAAAGTATTACTCTTATTTTATCCTAAAATAGACAAGGAAGAACTATCGAATCCCTTGACAGTATAGTAATTTAATACGAAAGATTGTGAGTGTGTCTGTACAGTGTAACTATTTTACGCTAAAACGTTAACAAATGGTATTAACATAAACAAACTGAAAATACGTCTATACTGTCACAAATAAAAGAAGAAAAATGTATCCACAGGTGACAAATAATAAGTAAGGTACTTATACTTAGAGATACAGTATATTTGCGGATCTCAATAATCTATCTGAGGCTATTTCTTACTAGGGATAGGCATTTGATCTCCATTCTCTACACATATAATATTCAATTTCTATATCTAGTAAAAAGATACAAAAAATACAAAAATATATTAAGGTTGTTGGGATTTACATGTTCTCGTTATTTTAGTTCGCTTTTAACGCAGTCGTGTGTTTTTGTAAATATTTTTTTTATTTAAATTATCATAATATATTCGTCATATACATATATGTACATGTTTTAGAATAGCTGCATGTGTCACTCTCACAATTAAGACGAATCTAACGACACCTCCCAAGTTAAAATTCATCAAACCTTTTAGGCAACAGCGTACCAAAGAAATATACATACACACACTCGAAAAACATAACCCTCCTTCTGGCGCAGTCGGGTAAATACTGCCACCACGGCTAAATTAGCGCCACCTATTGCATTTCGTAGGAACTAACAAGTAAAAGTGTATTCGTTAGATGAAACATTTTTGGCATGAATCGCTAGAATGCAGAACAAGAGTGTTATACAAGAACATCGATTTTTATATTTTTATAACGATGACTTATTCATATGATACTAAAATAAAAATAAATACCTATTCTAGAAAGATTTCTATACCGAGTCGAGTATACTATTGGGGTGGATTCACTTTTAATTCCTTAGATTAAACAATTAACAAAGATAATATTTCATAGTTTCTTTACGACACGCCACCTGCTGCTTTTATAAGGTACCTAACCATTTTTTCTAGCTGTACTGTAAAGTACAGTTGGACGTAGTTATGCAAAATGGATCCAGCCCACGAAAACCTTTTTTTGAGTTACTGTCATAAATGGCACTGCATATTAACTAACATATAGGTATACAGAAAGTAAATAAAATACTCAATATTTAGGAGGAATTTCAAAAAAACTACGGCCTTGTTATTTTGATGTACCAATTTTACTAAAACTCCTATTTGTCAAAAGTGAGATTTTGTGGTTGAGCATTTAAGTTTACCATCGGTTAATCTTTGCAAGTAATCATAACTATATAGCAGGTGTCGCCAGACGGGATTGAATTACCTTCTAAAACCTAATACATAATATTATTGAGGCGCCATGGGATAGATAGCATTAACATGCTTTGACGTCAAGACGCCACGAGCGGAATCGTACTCTCAACTTCCTGCTTTTTTCTCCGAGATATTGAATGCAAATCAAACTGCATGAGAATGAGGCTAAATCTATGATATTCGCATATTATAAAATTTATCAATACAAAGACTTCCGCCATATTAGATTTAAAAACGCTTCATGCTTATATATTACTAGCATTGCCCGCGGCTCCGCCCGCGTTCAGATGACCAAAAACTAAATTCTTAGGTGTTACATATTAGTATACTCTTACATTGCAGTTTTTGTATTTTTCCTCAGAAATAAGATATTTTCCCGCGGTAAAAAGTATCCTAGGATCGCGCGCTACATCGCCCGGTTTATATAGCTTGAGCAGGCGGTCGAGCGATGCGGGGCAGAGGGGATGGACTCGCCGTAGGCATCTCAATGCTCGCCAAGCATTAAAAATGTTTCGCTACTAATTACTTCTAACAACGATATCTCAAAAACTATTCATCTGATTGATTTAGTGTAAAGAGCAATTTTAATCTGCATTAAATGACTAAGCTAACTAAAATATTCATTTGGATAAGGATTAATACCGAACTAAAGAAAATAACTTTGAAAATAACGTAATGTTTTTAATTAAAAATGTTAACATAAAAGTGGTTATTGTAAGTCAACCGTAAGAGATAGAGATATGCTATCGCGGACTTTTTTGTAGCATTTTTATAGATTTTGAATTCTCTAGTACATTACTTAACTGTATCTTTGCTAGTTTACGCGGCGTTCGCGTGGAAAGTTCCCATTTGGCGAGATTTTTTGCGACCTCTTCAACATTTGTCGCCGTATTTCAGCTAATTTACATAAAAGCATAATAAATTATATACCTAAACCTTCCTCAAGAATTACTCTTTCTATTGTTGAAAACCGTATAAAAATCCGTTCAGTAGTTTTCGAGTTTATCGCGTACAAACAGACAGGAGGACAGACAGGAGGACAGAAAGACGCGGCCGGGGGACTTATTTTTATAATAAGTATAGATAGATAGCTAAATTATATTTATAATTCGGTAAAAAACCATGCCTATTTTGAGACGGTTTCGCGTTTAAATATCCAAACGTTCATTTTTAGTGCAATTTTGGAGAGTTCAAACTATATTTATACCAAATTACAAGTTTAAAGGACTACAATTTTCACCAGTGCGATAAACCCTGCGGTTTCCGCCATTGATATGTACTTAGTACAGATAGGAAAAAATTGCTACCAATCGTACCTAAAACAAATTAACAAATGCTTAACATTTGATTATAAGAATAGTAATATATTCTTATATACATACATTTCTCCATAGTTGCGCAAGTTATTTCAATCAACTTATACGATAGACGGATGTGATTCGTATGTAGGTAGATCGTAGGTACCTACCTTGTCAGTATAGATAGAGAATGCTTTGTATCTATTTTTCACGTATGCGTCATAGTATTGTTGTTTGTAGGTTCAGAAATTATTTATAATATAGGTATGTCAAATCTGTGATGATTTACATAATATAATTTTTTTTAAAACGCTTTATATTTTTCTTTTGATTTATTATTCTTTAGATAGGTAGGAACTATCACAAAACTGTGTGTCTATGACATTTTTAAAGTCGAGCCGCGAGCGTAATAGAAATCATGAGACTAGAGTGCATTGTCGCGGACATATAAAATAGATTTTTCTTCTCCCCGGGATACTTTTCTAGGGCAGTGCTGTAGAAATTTATTCTAAAAAAAAATTGTGCAAACCTTTTTTAATCTGAGATCATGTATATTTCCATGCAAATGTTTTTCTTAAAAAAATTGCAATATTAAAGTTTCATCACAACAAATACTTTGTATTATGTATTATTTATTCCAAATCACACATAATTTGACACGTTTGGCTCAGTTTGTAGTGACCCTACGTGCTGTGCCAGCGATCGCTGGTTTGAGTCCCACTGGGGGCATTCATTTGTGTGATGAGCACGAATATTTGTACTCCAGTCATGGGTGTTTATATTTATAATATATATGTATTTAAAGCTAGCTAGTATTTAAAGCTATGTATGTATATGTGTAGTTGTATCAACTATCTGGTACCTATCCATAACACAAGACTCGTAACTTACCATGGAACTAGATGGTGCTGTGTGTTAATGTCCCAACATAACATAAATCATTCAAATAAATACATAAATAAAAGCTAAAGTAACAGGCGCATGGTACTAAATAAGTACCTGCCAGAAAAGAAAATGACCGTGCATTTTTACATTTCGTCTCCAAAAAGCGAATAAATTTCTTTTAAGGTGTATACAATGAAAATTTAACCTTATAAAAAAATTAAAACTAAATAATTATGGACAAGTGCGAGTTGGACTCGCCCACCGAGGGTTCCGCACAAATTTGTAGGAAATCGGTTTAATTTTAATTTTCAACTTTTGTTATTTTTTGGATTTTTCCCTTTATTTGTGTTGTAAGACCTTGCCTTTTGCCAAATTTCGTGATTCTAGGTCAACGGGAACTACCATATAGGTTTTCGACAAAGAGACCTATAGGGTACTTCCGGTTAACTTAAAATTGTCAATTTTGGTTAAAAGCAAGTTCTTACAGTACAAGTAAAGGAGAAATTCCGAAAAATAAAAAAGTTGAAAGTTAAGGTACATTTTGGTATTTATAAGTTTTCGCAAAAATCTAAATTTGCCCATATCTTTTTATCGTGTTAACTCAGGACCTTGATTTTTATACACCTAATAGGGACTATAGACCTCAGTATCTGGTATAAATTTCAACTTGCAGACGGACAAGAGAGTGATCTTATAAGGGTTAATTTTTTTACCTTCTTAGGTACGGAACCCTAACTAGCCATTCACAAGACGTTCAAAAAATTTTTTATCTTAAGGGAGCGGCTATTAAGTTTCTCTAGATCTTTTCTCAGTAAATCACATTTCTGAGGCCACCAGTAGTTTTCTCACCGACCGACTACACTGACTCTATTTGACGATTAAGTCGATTAAAAAGTCGGTTCAACTTAAATCTATTTTGATTTAGGTACTTAATTCAAGATATTTCCAAATATGTTACAGATTTTCGGTACACGCGCAACAGGTACCTAACTACCTACTTTACTAATTTTGATGCTTTTACCGTGTTTAATGACTATATAATAATAACAAATTTAAACACACATGTTGTTATCTTGTTATGATAAGAAAAGATCGAGTTACATACGTTTATTGTTTATTAAATGAAACATACTCGTACATTTTATTTAAATTCTGTTATTATATTTACAAATTTGATTGAGGACAGCTAGAAATACAATTCAAATCTTTAGTGTACATAATGTAGCATAGTACCTAGTAATGTAATTCTAGGAATATGTAGTAGCATACACATACCGACGCTAAGAGAACCCGCGCACTAGGCAGCCTGGCTGTGGCAGCCATTAGAACGTGTCTGATTGTACGGTACGGCATTCCATTGGCTAGTCCGTAGCAGCCAGACGTAGTACCCTATGTAAGAAATAAGTAAAATGCAAAATCCACAGTATTTTACCCGACTGCGCCAGAAAGAGGGTTATGTATTTTAGTGTATGTACTTATGCATGTATGTATATTTCTTTAGCACGCTTTGTAGCCTAAACGGCTTGATAGATTTTAGCTTGAGAGGTGTAGAGTTAGATTCGTCTTAATTATGAGAGTGACACTGGGTATATCAAAATTATAAAAATTAAAAGGGCCGATATTTGGCACCATATTATGCCTTCAAAAAAATAAAGTGGCTTACAAAAATATATACAACTTAATAATTAGATCCTCCAGTTCCATATTGCTCGACGGAAAAGTCCTAACTGGCCGTCGCCATAGCGGCTGTAACTGGCTGCTCAATTTTTTGGTTGCCTAGTACCTAGTACGCAGGTTCTCTAATTTGTTTGATAACGTAAAAACTAACATACAAAATCTAGTTCATCCCCGTACAGTTAAGACCAAGGATGGTATTTAGGCACTGCCCCTCCTTCGATGTGTGCAGACTGCAGACACATGGGTCAATAACAGATAGGTATCTTATTTTCTGTCTATCTCGCAAGAAAGTGAGAAAAAGAGTCGATAAATAGAAATATGATCTTTACAAAAAGAAAAGAGTCATGTTAAATAATTAAATAAGAATAGATGTTAAGTTTAAGAAGTAGGTATTTACATACTAAAGTTAAATAAACTAAGTTGATAAAACTATGATATGATTTTTTATAGACTTCAAGTTTTGTTTTTAGGCCTAATATATTTTGAGTTAATGCAATTAAAAATTAATGAGTTTATAATGAATTTATTAATAATATTTAACTTTTTTGGCAATAGCTATATCTTATAAAGTGCATGTAGTTATCAATCCAATGTAGAATTGTTTTGTAAGTCAGACTTTTTACAGTGAATATGAAACCGACAAACATAGCAGTGACCTAAATACAGTAACAAAATAAATGGACCGTGCGCGGCCTATCCTACCTATATACCTACTATATACCTACATCACGTCCATTTCAATACACATAATACGACGTGAGTAATCGATAAAATGTATATAGATGCCATGTACTGCCCGTCGCTGTCTAGATTAGTATATAACTAGGCACCAGACCGTGTTCCGGATTACAGAGACGCGTAGAGTAGTGTTTTATAAACATTTTGTAGCTAGTCTAAGCAAACACGATATATTGTTACCTAATTTATTACCAAAATAAGTTATGTAAACATACTCAAGATGCACACGAAGTAAAAACTTTTATATCCTTAACTAATAATTGTTAAATTAATTTCGCTAAAAAGCAATAAATAAATAGGTATATTGTTTCTTAAATAATACTGCATTATGATTTAGTATTTACTTTCAACTTTATGTACAAATTTCATTTCGCACAGATAATTAAGCAAGTTTAGTGTATCGATTGCCACATCGATTGATGACCATAGATCATTGATAAACGTGTTTTATTGTCTATAGAGCTCAGCTGTCAGTGACATTTGTCTTCTAGGGGTCAAAACGTAATAATATTTAATTTAGAATTAGTTGAAATGTAATTTTAATTAATGGCAGTGCACTTACAAAGTTTGTTTTGTAACATCAAAGACGTTATCTTAAATCTTTAAACCAAAGGCACACTTGAGTGAAAATTGATAAATGTATTGTATTATTATTTGTGCTTTTCTTTTTTATTTGTGACATGATGGTTTCGAATTTACAACTGCAAGAGAAATATAACAAAAGTATGCAATAATCCTAGTATAGAATACTCTCCGAAGGTAATAAAAAATACTAACGTAAGCATAATTTTCAGTCAGAAAAAACTTCTGCTTCTATTTGGATATTCAAGATCCCGGGTTATCTAGATCTATTTCACGTAGGCTGCAAGACATGGGTTTGGTGAGTACAACTATATATATTTGCCGCCAAAAGTTTTCTATTTTACAAATTAACTTGAAGACGTTTCTATGCAGTTTTGTGGTTATATATAATAATATAATGCGATTAAATCATGTTGGTAGGCTAAACTCATGTCAATATTATTAATTTTTAGCACCTTTTGATTTAGCCGTTTTATTTACGTTTCATTTTATGTAATGATATATGCAAGCATTACAAAATGTGCAATATTATTTAATTTCTTTATTACGCTATATAGTTAATGTGATTGATTTTTGAACGAATTCATTAAATATATCATGATTCACTATTTTTGTGATATTTTGTGTTTCAATATTGTACATTTTAAATAAATTATTATAATTATTTTTAAAATGTACAAAACGGAACGCTTTGCCCGCGCTAACCAATAGCAAGCTATTCCCCTTCCACACGACTACAGCGCCGCTTGTGAACAACACACAAACTAAAGCAAAATATCTCCATCTTGTATGACAGATTTGTGTTTGTTGTTGCTTTTTCGATTTTAAATAGTAAATGTGTGAAAATTACAACTAAAAGTGTCGAAATTGTGTTTCAAACACTTTAAAAATATAGTGTGTATTCTGATTAATAGACATTATCAGTTTATATTGTGATTGTATGAAAATTTAGTAGTGACGAAGTGCCCGTCTCTGTGACTAGTATATAGTTACTTATTTTTGTGATAAGAGGCGCGCGGGGGCCTCGCGGACAGCTTTTGTGTAAGTATATATGCTGTAGGATATCTACACGTGCGGACTGACACATCGATCGAGTCAGGATTGTTTAGAAATCAGTTTAAAACACAGTTGTCGGAGTGGCTAGTTACGCGCGTAGCTTGCGTTCGATTTTAGGTCATCTTTTGTATGCTCGCGTTAGAGCCGCCGTCGCAGCGCAAAATGCATCGTGCCGAGGCCGCGCGCCGCGCTCGATCACGCTGCGTTGCATTACATCCATTTAAAAGCCGTTTGAAATATAGTTTTCTTTAGCCTACGCGTGTGTATGCTTAATTTTTGACAGTTGATATTACTTTAGAAACGCCAAGGCGATGTCATTCTTAAGTTGTTCATGTTAGGGATGAGATTTGGGTGTATGTAGTTCCGAGTGTTATTTTTTTGCGCGGGACGGTTGGCGCGATCCGACGGAGGGCGCGAGCTCATCCCGCCGGCGTCGATTTGCCGACTGTATTTCAAGGAAAACTCGAGTACACGGTGACTTCAATTGTACCGTGTCGATGACACGCGTTCACGCACACCTTGATATTTTCCTAGTAATTGTGTTATATGAAACTATATTGAACCACTGTCCAATTGCGAACATCAGCATTCATTTTATAAATAACTAAAATTGCAAAACTGCTGCACTTTCAGGTCAATATAATTTAATGCTGACTTTCACATTGTACCTGTTTACTGCATTATTTTGAAATTATATGACATGACATTTCTAATTAAAGTTGCCACATGAAATTAGCATGTTTTTATAATATTATATTTTTCTATAATAATTGCTTAATTTTTGCACTGGCAACATTGCTAACTTGAGATAGTAATATAAATAAACAAAATACTATTTATTACATAATTCTAAGGAAATGCATTTTATTATATCCACAAACATAATACAGAGGAGTAACAAAATGTAGTGTTATTTAAATTGATTTGTTATTAATTTTTTTACTAACTAATTTAGGGTGTATTCAGCTCTTATAGAACAATTATTTTTGCATTGCTTTGATTGCTAAAATTCTGTTTTTTTTTAAGTTTTTTATGAATAATGTCTTTTATATAAATAATAATTATTACCGCTTTTAGAAAAAAGAAAACAGATTTTTATGCTATTACTTTTTGCATTATTATTGTTATTTAAATATAAAAATTTCAACCTAATTGAAATGACTTTTGTAATATTACATTTTAATTAATTTACAATCTTTTCAGCGTGAAGAGATATTTCTGACATCACGGGTAACACACGTTGTGGGCGCAGAGGCGCGATGTGCGCGGCGTGAGGGCCGCGCGCGCGCGCCGATGCCATGCTCCAGCGGCTATCCCAGCCGCACAACTACGTTCATCTTACTGTCCAAAAGGTATATTAATACTCTCTATTTCTAATACACTTATTTCTTACTTTTTAAATTGGTTAAATGGGTATTATTAAAATAATGAACAATTATAGGCTACAAAGATCTTTAAGTAATGGAAAAATAATATGGTATACCATAACATATTTATAAAGTAATATATTCACATGAAAAGATATGATGTGCTTATTTACATATACATTTCTATTAAAATTACTAACTTACTATCAAATTCTTCCCATATTTATATATATTTATTGCATAATTATTAATATTTCAGGCTATAAGTCTATTGGACAAACTGTATGACACATTCTTCACGGCGCCGCGTAAAGCGCATATCAACCTCTTCAGTAAACATTTTATCAAGATTGAATTTTTGGACAAGTATGCTTTAATATTCAACAAAATATTTCGAATTTTCTTGTCAATTTTACTAAATGCTTACATTGTTTTCAGATTATGCCGACCAGTGTTTAAGGAATTCGATGAGTGGCCCACCATATCCTTAGAACCTGATCCTCCTAAAGAGAAAAAAGAAAAAAAAGAATCACCGGAAATTTTGGTTAACGCAATCCCCTCAAATAATAACACAATTCAAAAGTAAGCTATAGTACCTCAACTATTATAGTTTATATTCTTGCTGGAAAAACATAACTACGAGTTACATAGAATAATTTAATATTGGACTAATAAATAAAACAAATTTTAGGTGAACAAAATATTTAAAAACAATATTTGTCTACTTAATTTAATGTAATAATATTGTTTCAGAATGACAAGAAAAAGTCGGCCCCGTATAAAGGAGAAGGATGACAAGGAACAAAAGGGAGGGTATTGTGAAATGTGCAACACAGACTATGTAGATGCAGCATTACATAGACGTTCTCCACACCACCTGGCATTTGTACGAGATCATACAAACTTTTTGGCTTTAGATTCCTTAATAACTTCTGGAGCTGATGTCACGTCTTTTTTAGACAAAGCTACCCCAGTTAATGGTGAAAGACGATCTCTAAGAAAGCTTTGCAATGGGGATGTAGAACCAAAAAGTAAACGATCAAAAAGATCTCAGTCGCCCGATAATATTAATGGTAATGCAAGTCCAAAACGTAATGGTGGCTTAGAAGATGAAAAAAAGCTAAGGACTAGGTGTAGTAAAAGAACAAGTGAGTCTCAAACGTCAGAAGACCGTCAGTATTATAAAGTAGTCGGGGTAAGCACGAAACTTCGGTCTAGTGGGGGGTTTGCTGTAAAAAAGAAAGAATCACCACCAACATGCAATGGAACGAAACCCCTAGTAGTAAAATTTAGGAAAGTAAGACGATCTGAGCTATCAGTGTTGAGCGATGAAGCAGAACAGTTCATGTTCCCAAAACGAGCCAGCTCAACAAGTTCCACGTCATCTGAAGAAGATGAGAAGGAGGTTCTGAGGTCCAGAAGAAAGACACCACCTCAGCCCCCGCCTCCTATAGAACGACAACGGCTAGCAAGACCTATAGCTTTAAAAGAAGAATCGTCAGAAGAAGATAGCTGGCCTGAAGACAAGACACGTCGAAGAAGAAGAGTGCCTCCGGTAGCCAAACGGGGGCGAAAGGCTATTTCTAAAGCTCCAGTCTCTGATAGCCCTAAACCAAAAGAAAAAACTCCAGAAATAGTTAAGGAGCAAGCCCCACCAGAACAGGTCGAGCCAGAAATCAGTCCATTAAGAGAGGAGCCATCGGAAAGATGTATGAAGTGGGAAGATGGCAAATTGAAATATACACCAGCAGTAGAGCAATTGGAGTTCGCATTTGAATCAGTCCCTCAGAGCGAGCCCTGGTTTGAAACTTTCAAAAGACAAGACCAAGATAAGCTGGTCACAAAAAATGTGCCTCAGTATTTTGGTAATTAAGATGCTATATTACATAAAACGTTTAATGTTTAGTTTAGCATCATTTACCGATTAAAAAACATTTAATTGTTTAAAGATTTACTTTTGTATGAAGAAAAACTAATATAGACTATTTATTTCAGAACTGTACTCCAAGTCGCCAAAGTTACCCTACGAGATTGGCCAGTTACCACCACTCAAGCCAAATTGCTGTAGACTCAGCGACTTTGTCAAGCGGGACGAAAAACCGGGACCTTCGCGTTCTTACGGAACACGAGGCATGAAAAAGAAGAGGATAAAGAAACAAAAACGTACTGCGGCCCTCATAGCTCTTGAAGGACACCCAAGAAAATCTCCAAGAGAACACGCATCAACTCTGGCTATCCTCGGATCTGCTGGACTATTACACAGAAGAAAACATGATGATGCTAAATCAACAGCATCCGAAGACACGATCAGTGATTCTCATAGTAATATGAAAATAGAACCAGTTTTATCAGAAACCCAGGAAGAATCAGAACGCCTCCAACAATTCCTTTCAGAAGTGTTTGAGGAACCCACTGATTATGACATAGCGGATGAACTTATAGCCGATGAAACTGCTGTGATAACATCGAAAAATCTACCTGACGTGTCCAGTTTAGTATCAGAATGTGAAGATTGTGACATTATACGAAATGAAATTAACCAAGGATCGCCCGGACAAGTTAGAAGGAGACGTGGCAAATTCAAAAAGAAGAACAAAACAGGATGGCCCAACAAAAAGAAAACAAAGAAAGGCTCGCGGACGAGTAGTGTGGAGCAAAAAGATAGTAGCCTCGATAGATCCTCTGTGGAACCAGAAGATGACACCACACAGGACACAATGAGTGACCAGACATTATCAGAAACGGAAAAGGAAGACAAGACCTTGACCGAGATGCATTTGCAAGTGCATTGTGAATCTCCAGTTCAGATAGAAACACCAAAGGAACCCATGGAGGTTAATGAAGAACAGTTACAATTGGACTTGAAGGTGCTTCTTCATGACAAAGTTAGTGAAAAGTCTCCCACCAAGACTGATGATAAAGATGATAAGCGGTCATCATCAGATGGTGATGAGGATAAGAAGAAGAAGAAGAGGGCTTTACAAGGGTTATTATTGCAGCCCATAGTGAGAGTTGCCCGAGTGGACCCCAACGCTGGAAGGCGACTGCGCTCCGCCTCCCGGGCCCGCACGAGTCGGTTTAGATAGCGCGCGGCCAAACTGACTCGAATCAGTGGATAATTCAAGTATTTCTTGAAAAAATGAACTATTAGTGACATTAGTTATAGTATATTTTTGAATATGTAAATATATGTTAAATTTCAAACAGACAGATTGATGTTACATGTTACAGTTATGTGGCTAAATATGAGATTATTTGCAAAATTTCTAACTAGATTTTGGATTATGTGACAGTTTTTTTTTTCTATGTTTTTTTTAATGAAATGTATAGGTTTTTTTAAGTAGCCTTAAATTATTTTAGAAAGGTTGACAAAATGAATGAATGACAATTTTTGTTTTAATTATTTCTTTTATGGATTTTTTTGTGTGTAGTATTCTAAGTAAATTTACTAGATATACGATGGAACTTTTACAATAATCAAATATATTAATTGACCATCTTTATAGTAGACGATGATGTTTCCAAGAAATATTTAAAAATGGTATATATTTAATTTTTCTGAATTTACATCTTTTTTATTTGTTTGGTTTTTTTAGAAATTATCTATTATATGTAGTGAAATAATTTTATTTTTGACCAACCTACTTGTTGTGTTGTTTATTTTTTCGCGACCATCAATTAACAAATCATAAATATATACATTTTGAAGTGAAAACATCTGTAGTCGCCTTGAGCGTTTTTTTTTTTATCTCAGTCTTTATTTTAAGTGTCTCTGATCCGAAATCTGGTTATACTACAAGTCCTACCTAGCAATAATTAATAGATGGTATATCATTGGCTGATCGTAATAAGCTGGGTCTACATACAACTTTCTTAGATTTACGCGAATATTTGACATTTTAAATAAAACTATCTTTTCAGATTTTTGGCGGATTTATTTTAGTTCCAGACGTTTCGAATGCTTTACAGCAGTCATGGTCATGAAAGATTAAGGTTTTGGACGTCTCAAACGTCAAATAGTTCTTACAGACAGTGCTTAAGCACAAAATGATTTAAAAAAAAAGCTATAAAAAATCAAAATAAATCCCGAAAAATCCGAAAAGATAGTTTTATTTAAACGCCGAGTTTAAAATTTACATCCATAGCGAATTATGAATTTGGATATGAAGAATGGTAAATAAATTTTCCTTGTCATTATTTTCAAAATGGTTCAATGAAATTTACCATTTTAAAATAAATTTGTATCTATTTTATATTATGACCTTTAAGTGTTTAGACCTAGCTAATTATGATGGCTGATGGTGTTTTCAGTGTACAAAAATAGTTCTGCAAAACGTAGATGAGAACAGTAGCCATTCAACAATACTTTTTTCTCATTGTAATTTATTTTTAATAACTTATTTTTACGTTTTCGAATATTAGAGAATACATAGTTTTAAAAAAACCAGCCCGTTTTGATAAAAGTGTGCAAATACAGGATTGACGTTTGTATGAGTTTGGCTGTTTTGTTTATGAGAAAGATCTTTTTATTTTATTAAAATTTGTTTTCGAAAATGCATGTTATCTACGTAGTTTATAGTAAAAAAACTTTAAATGAATTGAAACCGTGTAAATATTTCTTGTATTATATTTAAGTTTGTTATTAGCGAGTGTAATAAGCGATGTGAGAACAACATTGAGAGCTTAGTGTACATAATTGATGTTTTTCGTATGCTTAAAAGTATTCCTTTTCATTGGATGAAAGTTGTTAAATGTCAAATTTCGTCTAAAGTTGTATAAAATAAAGATGACTATTCATAAACTTCGTTTTATTTTCTCTTAGTAAGATGTACCTGATACTAGTGAAGGCATTGGTAGCCCAGTGGTGAGGGGCTTGTTTGAGAAACCGAATGAAGCGGGTTCAAATCCTGCCAATCGCAAGTCTTATAGCTCGCTATTAAATCCTTAATTGAGATAATTTATTATGATGTAAAAGTAAATCCCTACTAAACGACAATTTCCAACATCCGAAAATTAATATAAATATACACGCCTAAATATCTTTATTCCGTATACGTAGCCCACGCAATCAGTATAAAAAATGTTATATGTTTGTCTATGACTTATTACAATGTTCATTCGTCGACTTGTTTCCATCATTAATCCAAGTTATAGCAATTATTTTTTAAATTGACTTCCAAAAAGGAAGAGGTGTTATGTTTGTCAGTATTTGTTTATTTATGTTCACCAACTTTTGTTTATCGTTGCTTATAATATATTTTTTAGTCATTTTACTCGGCACGTTTCGTCCTTGGCGCAAGATGTTTATACATACTCGTATATATTAACATACAACGTTCATACATAGTCGGGTTTTTATTTTTATAATATATTTATTTATTTACAGCTTTTTAAGTAAGAAAATTTTCGGGAATGGTTGTTAACCAACTTAAATCATTAATATATCCTAAACTGTTATTCAAAATAAAAAATGATGAAAGAAACCTAAAAATAATTTTTAAATACCTATTCAACGATACCTCACTTGGCATAGTTCGTCGATTTTCATTTTTTTCTTGTTCACATTATGGAATCTAGCAGCCCTCATATTATTACTTGTTAGGTCTTATCTAATCTTCTTAGATAGGTGACATAAAAACACCAAGTATTCTTACACTTGGACTAATGAGGAGAATCTAACGATACCTTAATTAAAGAAATCCATCGAGTGGTTTGGAAGATATGAGGGAATAATGAATATTACAAATAAACATACAGAGATAGGCGCGAAAAACATAACCCTTTCCCTGCAGTCGGGTAATAAGTATGCCAGGCGTCTATCTTCCTGACATCGAATTCTGGACCAGAATGCGATTGTTCATTTTCACTAAAAATAAGCGCGACGTTGTTATCAGCATATACCTACAGAATATTCTTCGAATATCCTTTTCAGTGAACAATTCGAGACACCGGTTGCATGAAATCCGGACGCATTTGTAGTTTAGCATAGGTTCTTTTAATTCGTGTTATTGGCATAAATAGATAAAAATGTCAAAAAATATCTTACTGTACGGACGTCGGACACGCATATTATTATTTTCTATCATGATATATAAAAACATACATACACATTTCCTAACAAATCTCTTAAATAAAAACTTTTTAACAAAAAAATAAAAACCGACTTCAAACAAAAGCACTAAAAAGTAAAAAATAACTGATTGGTAGTTTTCATTTACTATACATACCTAATCAAATATTTTCGAAGTCGGTGTGCTTTGATTTGTATAGGCTCGCACCGATTTCGAAAATATTTGATTAGGTATGTATTTAATAGGTAGGGTTTAATTACTTAGCTAAAGAAAGCCAAACAAAAATTGTCCAAATCGGTTAATAAATGACGAAGTTCTGAGGTAACAAACATAAAAAAAAAATACAGTCGAATTGAGAACCTCCTCCTTTTTGAAGTCGGTTAAAAAGTGGCAACGCCATGTCACGTTACAATAAAACCAAAGAATAAAATTAAAAAATCGTAAATACTTATCGTCTCAACACAAATTCTAACTTACGCACACCACATAAAGTACTTTTTTAAACAAAAAAACGTGCGTTTTAATTTTGTTATTGGAAGAGCAATGGACAAAAGAGATTTGAAAAAAGCGCAATTCAATTTCGAATTGTGCACTTCTTTTTGAGACACTAATTGTGTAGCAATGTTTTTATTCTATAGATACAATTTCATTTCTTTGGGGTGCGCCATTCATCATGTTACATATTTTCGATTCAGCGCATTTTTGAATTGTACTATTTTATATTTTGACAGAAACAATTAAAACATTAAATATCACAACAATATATTTTAAATATCAATAAACTCACTATATTTATTTAATAAACAATTAATTTTAGCTTTCCCAAACAAGTCAAGATTCATTCCATATGATAAAGATTAGCTCTATTAAAGCTCTCTAAATAATTTTTTAATACCTACTTAATATATTCTGTAATTTATAGATTTGGTATTACAACAAATGGGTTCGAAGTTCGAATCAATGTTTAATTCAGATTCCAGATATAGACGGTTTCATACTTAGACCTCTTACCACAAGTGTTAAATTGACTATAAGACACCATTTTTTGAACGGATGTTCCATACTTCAAATACTTGCAGATTTCATACTACAGATGCGAAACATCGGATATTTTAAACGAAAAGGAAATATTATGCTGCAAAGGACAAAACCATTCCCCATACAAAGTGGGGCCCAGTTTTAAAGGCTCGAAAATTAGTACATTTAGAAAAACGTCTAATGGCCAATTTTCATGGACTCCAGCGGTAGCCAATTTAGTAAAATCGGATTTTAAAGTTTTAGCGATTTTAATGATTATTTTATAAGCGCATTAATGACGCGCATAACATGAACGTACACAATACGTCATTACAAACGGCAACGTTCGACAAGCGTCAAACACTCGTGAGTAGGCATGGAACATTTCACGAGTAGCAAGTGAAAAATCACGTGAAATGCGTTATCATACGTCACACCTGCTACTTAAATTCATAGTGACTGCTACAAATCACAACTTGGTGAAATCTAGAGCTGTAGCAAACCGTATGTATTCGTTACTGAGTAACGAGTACGCCATCTAGTACCGAGTACCGAAACGTTACTCACGAATGCATTTCGTTACTCGCATTTTCCGTATACATTTTCGTACTGATGTTTTTATTGATTTTTTATTCAACAAAATACAATTTTCAGTTAATACCGTTGATCAGTAAATTGGGGAGTTTATTTATTTCGAGTTGCATGATTTCGGATTCTTAGAAATATTGTTTAGAAATAATTTTAAATGAGAAACAACAATTAAATTTAGAGCACATTTTTAGTTTTTTATCCAACAAATACTTATAATTTTTACTGAATGATTATGTGTAATACGTACAGATTATGATTTAATAAATCATTCGCGCAATTGATTTTAAAATATAATATATGCATTACGACGTCACACTAACGTGAATGATGGCGTTACTTTTCATTTTTAAATTACCTATTTTTTATTTATTATTTAATTTCAAAATTTATTCATAAAAAAATATTGTTAGTAAAGTTTTTAAAAATTATAAAGATTTATAAATAATTAAAATTTCTGGGTTCTAGATATCCTGTAACTCTCCAATTGAAATGGTTTGCTGATCGTGCATTATTCCACAGAAAAACAACGCGTCGTCAAGTGTCAACGTTTATACCGTACCGAGAAAATATATGTTGCTGATGCGTTATTTTAAGAATTCTGGGCGCTATTTTGGGATAACAAAGTAGGCAAATAGGGTTTTATTTTCAAGCACATTTTTGCAATTTGAAACTCTCTCCAGGTACAATGTCTGGTAGTAAAATTATTTTATCATCAAACTATATTACAAAGTAGAAAAACAAATTCTAAATATTGTCTTTATAAATACTAAATGAGATCAGCATTTAGAAATTCTGTCATAAAGGATAGAATGATAGATAATTATACAATTTGTTTATAATTTTTAAGTGTTTTCATTTTCTGTTTGAATTATCACTAATGTTATAATAATAAGGTAAATAAATGAAATTATAACTATAAATTACACGTTATGTTAAAGATCATACAAAATATTTTTGCCTCATATAATATATATTGTAGCATTAATTGTTTTTTTTTTATCTTTTGTTTTGATAAGCATTAAATAAAGTTTGAAAATAGGTTCATTCAAAGCACCATGTACGTATGCAACTACGTCAGATCTATATCTCTGCTCCATATCACATCAGTAGCGCCATTGGTGATATTTCATACTTCATTTTAATAGCAAATAATATAAAGTGTGACACCAGACCGTCGAAATCAAAAATCTATGCGTGAAAAGTAGCAGGTGAAATCACGTGAAAAATATACGTAATTTTATCACATGATAATGATTTAAAAGTAGCAATCATTTCCATGCTTACTCGTGAGTCGTGGACTCCCGAGTAAAAATGAGTGTTCTCTTGGATAGCGCATTAAATTCGTCGTATGTACTTTTATTTGTCATCCATGGTATGTACCTATAAGCCCTTGTGTAGCTACCACCACGGGGTCACTTCGCGAAGGATAATTAGTAAAAGTAGTAAAAAATATTATAGCAGATGACGTTATATGTGCCGATTTGTTTGTTCATCTAAAATTCAAATCACGAAAAAAAGTGTTTATCCAGCTTTAAAAGAATTATATAGAATTCAATAACATTCTAGTATTTCTGGTGGCAATAATAGGTACTACGTTGTGATAGTATGATCTTACTAAATAACTGTAAATACTGTTCATAGATGGCGCTCCAAAATAAAAATAATCTTTTTGTTTTTGCATTTTGCTATTTTGTAGACATTCATACATTTTTGTAATATAATAACATCTGTTTACTTATACAATTAAAAACTAGTAAAATGTAATAAAACTATTTTACTTTAGTTTTGTGCCAGTGTTGGATGGACGTTTCATCCTTGCCGCGAGATGTACATACTCGTATGTATGTCTCCGACTGCATAATACTATATTCCTTCGTGAACTTGTTTTCATCTTTTTAGTTAGCTTTTATGCAGTCGGGTTTCTTTATTTTATAATATATTTATTTATTTACAGCTTTTTAAGTATTTTTAAGTAGGCAAATTAGCGAGAATGGTTGTTAACCAACTTTAAATCATTATATATCCTAAACTGTTATTTAAAATGAAAAATGATGAAAAAAAACCTAAAAATGATCTTTAAATACCTATTCAACGATACCTCACTTGGCATAGTTCGTCGATATTCATTTTTTTTTCTTGTTTACATTATGGAATTTAGCAGCCCCCTTATTAATTTTTTTATGGCACCTATCTAAGAACAATTGGTCTAATGAGACGAATCTAACAATACTAATGTATTGTTGGATTCGTTTCATTAGTTTACCTTTTTAGAGAAATAGTACCCGGGGGACCGAGCTTCGCTCGGAGTTTTTGGCCAAAAGACATTTTAAAAAATCATACAAAAAATTTGAATAAACACAAAAGTAAAATCTTTGTATATAACCGTGATACGAACCCAGGCACCTGTGGTTGTCAAACTAGCGCCTTGGCCGTTTGGCCACGATGCTTATATCCTAGCGTGCGAATTAACGACCATATTTTGCGTGGAATAATGCGAAACAAAACCGAATGAAAACTCGAAAACCCGCGTTTTCCCAGACATAAAACTATAGATCGATTTATCGCCCCGAAAATCCCCTGAATACTAAATTTCATGAAAATCGGTGGAGCAGTTTCTGAGATTCAGATTATATAATATTACTAGCGGCTCACCCTCGCTTCGCTCGGGTTCGTCGCTAGGTACGTTTTAAATAGATATAAAAAGAAAAAATCTTTCTTTCTCACATTTTAATTATATGTTTTAATACTTACCTATTCCGGACTAAGAGAAATCCAAAAATTAAAATATCATAAAAATTGGAACGCGGTCGAACGGGATAAAAAGTATCCTATGTCCTTCTCCTGGCTCTAAACTACCTCCCTGCCAATTTTCAGCTAAATCGGTTCAGCCGTTCTTGAGTTATAAGCGAAGTAACTAACACGACTTTCTTTTATATATATAGATATATACAAGAATTGCTCGTTTAAATATATAGATCGAGTGGTTTGCAAGATATGGGGGAATAAAGAATATTACAAACAAATATACAAAGATAGTTGCGAAAAGCATAACCCTTCCTTTGCAGTTGGGTAAAAAAAGTCAGCTATGTATAAAATTTGCAAAACACATGAAATATATTTTTTTCTTATATTCTTTTATTATTAGATGTATAATCTTATGTTGTGTACTGAATACCAATATATTTGGATATTTATATAATTTTTGAAATAAAAATATAAGATAAGTAGGTTACAAAATGGAGAAAATTTATTTTAGTAACTTTAGAACTAAGCAGTTTATGAAATATTACATACGATTAACTAATTTTCAATTTGAAACAGGAAGCTTGACAAAAAGTGCTTTGTTTATAAATGGATTGTAATATTAACATTAATATTAAAGTTTAATAGGTTACATTAATCAAATGAAAAACAAATGATCTATTCTAACAGCCATATAATCAATAAAAACAATTTACACTTTATACATCCTTATGATGCCCGGCCATTATTGCATACTTTATAATGCAAATAATATTCAAATTAAACCTGTTCTATTGACTAAGCTCAATCACAAACAGCTCAGACCAATATAGGAGAAATGATATTGTTTACGGTTATCTATGTTGTATTGGTCTAAAATTACCAAAATTATTTAGCATTTAAGTTTTATTCATATACATCTTCTTTGTCAGCTATATATTGTACAATGTCTTTGGGTCTAAGAAGTCTTTCTGCATCCCCATCGGGTATTTCAAATCCAAATTCATCTTCCATTGCCATGACAATCTCAACATGATCCAAGGAATCAAGTCCCAAGTCATTGATGAAATGGGATTCCAGAGATATCTGAAACAAGTAATAAATAAAATATGAGATATAAAAGTATGTTTTACTATATTTAAATATGGTATTTTTTTTACTGTTTTTATTCAAACTTATACTTCAATTACATTTTTTTTTTGGTAAATAATTGAGAAAGCTACCTTCTCTGGGTTAATTTTGTCATAGAGTTGAAGAACTAGAATGACTCTACTCTTAATTAGATCAAGCGTTAATGGAGGACCCCCACTGTAGTTGCGGACCGCGATTTTTTGATTCTGAAACAAAATTGAAAAATAAATGTACCTGAGTTGAAACGAGTTTGTCGTAAGCCTTGCAAACTTTCAGCACTCGATCTTCGATTTGTTGCTGGGTTATCTTATGCACAGGACCGGTGGCGTATTGTCGGGTACGCTGATAAAGTACCTAAACATTATAGCACCACTGTACTCTCGTTATGCAATAACAAAAATAAGGTTATGTTATTGAATTTTTTAAAACTTCACAAACTTTATGCTAATGAGAATATGACTTTACAAAATTATTTATATTAAATAGTTAAGTTAAAACTCATGACAAACTAGATAAATCATTGTGTATTGACAGAAAAAAAGTCTTACCCCATTTTTGTGCTGAACGTCATATGTCCTAGTTAAGGCTTTTACTGTATTATATTTTTGCTGTAAAGCTACAGTGGATAGCCTGCATACCACCGGCGCTTGGTATGTAACGGATTTTCTTAATAATCCATTGAAAGCAGTTCGCACAAGATTTGCAGCAGCCATTTTTGCGCTTCAAGATTCCATAGACAAAACTGACAACAGAATGTGAATGTTGCCCCAATGCCCACAAACTTTCTTTATCATTGCCATTATTAATTTAAAGTTATTGATTTTCCAAGATTTTTCCTGTATATTGAAGTTTATACATACTCACTTTTATTAAAAATCAAATTAAGTATGTGTGAAATTACTTTGGCAAACAGGTTTCTTATCACTTTCATTAACAAAACAATTAAAAACCTTTATTATGCATATTATTACTAGTCTATAAAAAAACTTTATATGTATAGTTTAAAATTCTTTTAAGTAGTGAGAAAAGTAAATTCATTATTTCAAAACTAGGAAGTCTAATCTCCACTAATACTTGAATAATATGTAGTTTACAGCGTACGTATAGTTTATAAGGAAAAAATATCGTTAAGTTTACCTGCAATTTGAATAATATTACTTTAATAGATTAAGATATAGCCATTATAGTAATTAGTAAGATTAAATAGGTATGTCAACTTATTCAATAATATATTTTTAGAACATACAGTAACAATCTAGCGCAATCTAAAAATTTTATGTATGTTTATCTATCTCAACAACTGTCAACTTCCAACTTGTCAATCAATTGTCATTTTCGTTTTGTTTTGTGTAGACGTATGTTGGAAATGAATTTATTGTTTTATAAATAATTTTAATAACAGAAATGGGTAACGCGGATACAAAATTAAATTTTAGAAAAGCTGTTGTTCAACTAACATCCAAATCTCAGGTAAATAAACTATAAGCAGCCTACGCAGTTTAAGAATGTCGGACTTTTATTGATTGAATTAATTTATTTTAGCCTATTGACGCAGCAGATGAAAGTTTTTGGGATCAGTTTTGGTCAGAAAGTGTAACAAATGTGCAGGATGTATTTGCATTAGTTCCTGGGGCAGAGATTCGTGCATTACGAGAAGAATCGCCAAACAATTTGGCTACCCTTGTGTACAAGGCTGTAGAAAAGTTGGTGAAAATTGTCGATAGCAGCTGTAGAACACAACGCGAACAACAGACTGGTAAGCCAATATTGTACACTATTTTATATATTTATTTACTTAAACAAAAATTAAAAAAAAACATTTCATAAGTACAAAAAATATAAATAGTAGAGCAACTACAATACTTACTATCCTCTTTATTTTAAGATAAATTATTTATAGCCAATTTTTTATATTGACATTACTTTCGCAAAAGTTAAGAAACATAAAAATTACTCATCCTCAGTATAGATAAAGCACATATAGGTAGCAAATATATTAAAGTGGACTTTAAATAAATAAAATAAAAATAAACATAAAACATCAATATGATAATATGTGGACACATACTATTACTCATAAGTCATTAAATTTATACACAAACATTGTATTTAAAGTTTATTTAAAAAAGTCACAATGTACATTACACGATGTAATGTGTAAGTGTATCCCTTTACTAAAATCTTACGAATGTTTAGTTAAAAAAGGACGACTTATTGACTGTTCAATTTTTTTTAAAAGATAGTTAATATAATATAAAAACTCTTTTTTTTTATATTAAGATTTATTAAATTAATAATAGACCTTTTATATTAATTTGTACAAACAAATAGTTGTTTTTGCTAAACTTAGGAAATTTAAAAGAACCATGAAATCAGTATCCAGTTAAAAAATTGGTTTATAGACATACATAATATTAAATTTACATGGTAGACACTATTCTCATGTACAATGAGCTATTAACCTGGTTTAGATAGTTTTTTATAATATAAAGTCTGGAATCTGGATCATATGTGATGAATATGTTGTCTTTAATTGGATATTTTTATACTTGTTATGAATTGTGCTTTCTATCTTTATACTCCAAATAAAAATAAATAAATAAATAATCTTTATTTTTTTACACCTAATTTTTAATGAATTCTATCTTTTGATGAAATCTATCTTTATTCAGTTTTTAAATATAATAAATTTTTCTTTCAGCTTTAAATTGTGCTCGACTACTCACTCGTGTCCTACCCTACATGCTAGAAGAACCAGAATGGCACAGTTTCTTCTGGTCTTCTCTACCTGCAGCTGCAGAGAATGAATCTGTACCGCTTGCCCAGTCTCTTATCAATGCTATTTGTGTAAGTAATAAAAATATATAATAGCTTATTGAATATATAAAACCATAAAGAATACATTTTAATTTATAATTAAGTATTAAACAGATATTTCATTTTTATTGGGTGATAATTTGTATTTATTTTAATTTATTTATACCATATAATAACAACGTTTTTGTTTCAGGATCTTCTATTTTGTCCAGATTTCACAGTAGTGAGCACTAAAAGATCAGGACCAGTAAGTACAGAAGAGATGTATGTTTGTAGATAAAAAATATGATATAGGGAAGGAAGGTTTAAAAAAATATCATCGAAATTGTTTTAATTTATGACATGAAAAGCCATTGCAATGAACATACTAACATAGCTTATAATTTATATTTGATTATTTAGATGTAATTGAAGAGATTCTTATTCTGGTATATTATGTTTGTGCCATTTATAAATAGGGTATTTCCCAGTGTGAAAAATATTGTCTTATTTTTTGACATCATGAAAGATGAAGAACATGATGAAAGTTTGTATTGGGAAGCTGTACGATCCACTTCTGCTTCAGGAGACACTTCGTCGCCTTCTGATGTCACAATAAAACAACCAGTGATTTGGACCGTCATTTAATATGTGTCTCAATTATCCTTTTAGCTAATTCGAAAGAACCAAAAGATAGCGTGATTCAACATACCCATAACTCCATCTATCAGCAACAAATGTAAACTACGCAAATGACAACATAGATTGTACATTCCGCCCACCATGGACCGAACGGTTCATAAGAAAATTAATCTAACCTAATAATTTGACTAAGTCTAATCCATCGTGGGTGAAGTGCAAACAATTTAAAAAATATATAACTTATAAACAGTATTTACACAAAGTTAAAAAATAATCAATATAAAGAATTTGAACTTCTACAATATAACTCAACTTAAACAAAACCAACCTTCAACAAACTTAAACGAACAAACCTTACTTATTTTTTTTTTTAAATCTTAAACTAACATTACGCATTGTCTTAGTTTCTAAACTTACTAATTAGGTAACTGGTAAAATACAAATTTTAGAAATAGGTCTTTTGATGATAATGCCTTTGCATTTTAAACTTACAACACGCGTAACATTATCCTGACCAGTGTGTTTGTCAACAATTACGCCGTAAAGCCATCTGGCTGGTGGAAGATTTTCTTCCTTAACTAAAGCGACATCTCCAATTTTAGGCTCAGGAGAATGACGATTCCAACGATAACGGTGTAGAAACTGAGATAAATACTCACTAGACCACCGTCGCCAAAAATACTGCGTCATTCGTTGTACATACTGCCATCTTCGGAGACTAGTTATAGTTGACTTCTCGTAATTGGCCTCTGGAACTAGTAAAAGAGGATCTCCTACAAGAAAATGTCCGGGTGTCAATGGGTATGGATCCTGTGTGTCTTCACTTAAAGTTGTTAATGGCCTTGAATTAAGGCAAGCCTCAATTTGGAAAAGAACTGTACTCATCTCCTCGAACGTCAGAGTTGAGTTACCGATCGCTCTCTTCAGGTGGTGCTTCGTTGATTTAATTCCTGCCTCCCATAATCCACCAAAGTTTGGACTATAGGGTGGGATACGATGCCAAGTAGTGCCGTTGCCTGAAAGCCATCTAGCGATTTCAACAGATACACTTGACCTTTCTTCAAGAATTAAATTTTTAATCTCCTTTTCAGCACCTACAAAATTAGAACCATTATCGCTCCATAAATCTGAAACGTGGCCCCGCCTGGCCACCATACGTTTAAATGCGGCTATAAATCCTTCAGAGGTCATATCACTCACAGCTTCAAGATGTATAGCTTTAGTAGCCATACATATAAAGAGGCAAATATAACCTTTAGTAGAGCGATGACCTCTACCCTTTGTGGTTCTTATTGCAATGGGTCCTGCATAATCTACTCCGGTCTGACGAAAAGGTCTGTCAGCTGTCACTCGAGATGCAGGCAACTGGCCCATAATGGGTTGATTAGACGGAGGAGCATAACGAATACATGTGACGCATTTGCGGACATACAACTTGACTAAATTCTTAGCGTCAACAATCCAGTACTTCGTCCTAATAAAACTGAGCATTAGCCGTGGGCCTCCATGAAGAGTCCTTTCGTGTGAATCTGCGATGATGAGTTGTGCTAAATACGAGTTACGTGGAATCAAAATAGGATGTTTCATGTCGTCACTTAACTCCGCATTCTGCAAACGTCCCCCAACTCGTAACAAACCATTGCTATCTAAAAACGGATTAAGAGACACGAGTTTGCTCTTCTTAGCTACTGATTCAAATTTAATGATACTTTCGATGTCACAAGCAAAGAACTTCTTCTGAAAGTAACTTATACATTTTTCTAACGCCTCTTTCAACTCTAGATTTGTTAGATAAGTAGGAAAAACAGTTTTACGAGAAGAACGTAGCCATTTTAAATAACGCCTCAAATAAGCCACAGTTCTAATGAGTTTTCGAAGTGTTGAGAATCTTGTAAATAATTCTTCATCCAACTCAACACTATCTACAGCATGACATAGTTTTTTATCTCTTTCTTCCAGTTTGGTATCTTGGCATTCTTCTTGTGGACTGTAATTGATCGTAGCTTCGCTTAGCCAAGATGGTCCATGTCTCCACAAGCTTAAATTGTCATAATCTTTAACACCCCTTGACGCACAATCAGCTGGGTTGTCTTTAGATCTTACGTGTGCCCATTGACTTCGATCTAAAATTGTCAAGATCTCCGATGTGCGATTCGCAACAAGGTTTTCCATTTACTTGGGTGACTACTAAGCCACGCAAGTACCACAGAAGAGTCTGTCCAAGCGTGAATTTTCTCATTAGGAACCTCTAATGTCTCTGAAACCTCTAAAATCAATTTGGCAAGAAGCTGAGCACCGCAGAGCTCCAACCGAGGGATGGAGACTTGTTTAATTGGCGACACCTTGCTCTTCGATGTGACTAAATTCATATGTACTGCATTATTCTTATCTATACTGCGAACGTATATCACTGCAGCATAGGCATGATTTGACGCATCACTGAAACCACAAACTATTCACTGTTCCGAAATTCACACAAATTTTTCTAAGTCAATGTAAACAATAAAATTCTCTAAGTGTTTGACAATTTGGGACATAGACAAATTTGGGCATAGGTTCCCCGTCAGTTCACTTTTCTTCGATAATCAGTCTATGTCTATACTAACTATAATTTTAATGTTTTATTCTACTCTTTGACTGAAGGTCCACTTTAGTTTGGCAAAGTATTAAAGAATAAAGTACTCACGGTTTACCGGCACACTTCACTCACTATTATAAACTATCTTCTCATACTCCTGGTCTGGTCGTGTCGTCATGGGTCTTCTCCGTGACGTCATCAGCTGCTACCTCTCGCTCCCTCCAATACTGCGCTGACGTCACTGCCTTCTTCTTGGCTGAAATCCCTGGCTCCAAGCTCCAGGGTTGACACCATCGATGACAAACCGCCACCACGTCGATGCCGACTTACAAAAAGCCCTAACTCCTAGGGGCCCGTTATCCGGCTCGAAGGACCAAATGTACGATCCACTTCTGCTTCAGGAGACACTTCGTCTCCTTCTGATGTCACAATAAAACAACCAGCGATTTGGACCGTCATTTAATATGTGTCTCAATTATCCTTTTAGCTAATTCGAAAGAACCAAACGATAGCGTGATTCAACATACCCATAACTCCATCTATCAGCAACAAATGTAAACTACGCAAATGACAACATAGATTGTACAGAAACAAGCTAGGGACGAAGCCGACCGAAGCAAGAGTGAGTCGCTAGTAGACATATAACTGGATGAGCTGGAGTAACACATACTCTACTATTAGGCACCCAGCGACGAGTACCTTAAGCAAGTCAGTTTACTTACTTAAAAGCCGTCATCACAGGAGCGTGCAGAGGAGCTGTCGTCGCTCGACAGCTGCGAGTATATATGGGCAGGCGGCGTGGGGTTCGCGCGCAGTCCGCCGCGCACCGCGCAGCACGAGGCGGCGCGCGCGGAGTTGCTGCGGCTGCTGCTCACGTGCTTCAGCGAGACCATATACAAGCCGGCGAGTCAGGCCGCCACGCACCATAATAAGTGGATTGCGTGAGTTTATATTAGTGTTTATTCATAGATTAGTAACGAATTTTAAGATTTGGACGTCAAAGTGTTTTACGACTTATACCAACTTTGATCCCTCGTGTCTTCTCTATTCTACGTGACATTGGCGAGTAATCTGTGCTCAACTGGGACGCTTTGAAGCCTTTAACAAGAGAATTGAATTACGTACTAATAAAGGCGAAACTAAAAAGGCCTTTTTCTTAGTTGTTTTCTAAATCATAATAAATGAAGAAAAACGACTCTAATTCGGAATCAATATAGTTGAGTCTTCAAAAGAATTGGTAAACCGTTAAAAAATTTTATGAATGATTGTTTGTGTAATATCTACCTATTATTTCAGATACAACCAGGCAAAAAATTGACTTTATCATATCCTATTTAAAATAATATTTCTTAAATAAAAGCTAAGAGATAACATACTAACTTAAAAGATAATTTAAAAGTAATTATTAAAATAAACCATAATTGTTGGCTGTTTTCCTTAAAAGTACATAAAACTATTTATTAAAAAAGGGGAATATTAAAAACATACAAAAACAACCTAGCAACAAAGGAATTTAAACCCGATTTAAAGTACCTCCTCTTTTATAATACTAACATTTACATATTTTCTTTCCATCCAGATACCTAACAAGTCCAGAAAATCGTCACGCATTGCCACTGTTCACTTCACTATTGAACACAGTGTGCTCATACGACCCTGTAGGGCTCGGGCTGCCGTACAACCATCTTCTATTTGCAGACACCCTGGAACCTTTGGTTGAGGTATTATTGTTTAATTTTTCTAACATTATTATTAGCTTCACTCATAACTATCTAATTAATTGTGGTAACTAAACAGTTGTAGCCCAGTGGTATCACGCTCGCTTGGGAAGCCGAGTGAAGAGGGTTCAAATCCCGGGTCTCGCACCTCTGATATTTTCATGTGCGAATCAAATTTTGAATTTCCAACATGATTACCACTTGTCTTAACGGTGAAGGAAAACATCGTGAGGAACCTTGCATGTCCAAAAGAACCTAGCAAGTTTTCAAAAAACGTGTAGTCCGCCAACCCGCACTTGGCCAGCGTGGTGGACTATGGCCTGATCCCCCTCGAATTGAAGGGAGGCCCGTGCCCAGAAATGGGACATTAATAAGGGCTGATTACATACAACTAAATTAGGAAGTCGATTTCGAAGGACGAATCTACTTGGTGTAAAATCCTCATCTGATGATATAGCCAGGTGGTGGGAAGTAAAACTCTTCCATGGCATAGTAAAACCTTCGATGTTTAGGTTCGTTTGATTCGTTTTGATGAACCCCATTACCTACAACTCATCGAAAGCGTGTATTTGAATGTTTTTTTTTAACTATAATAGGGAATATGCATGATTTTTTTGATTTTAGCGAGGTAAACCTCGCTATATATTTGTAAAAAAATATCTAGCGCAAAAAAAAATTGTATTTAAAAAAACATACGGTCACGTATACTTTAAACGCCCGCCATTACGCGCGCTTGGCGTGACGTCACGGTATGATATTATTATACATAGATACATGACGAGTAAGTCAAGTTGTAGCGACAAAATCGCTAATCGCTCTGTTATGATCTGCTCTGACGTCACATTCGGTCTGACCAATGGCGTTCGTTTCAACTACTTTGAATTTCCCACCTATATTTGCACTTTTTAATAATTATTTTCTTAATAAAAAGAAACTACATTAAAAATATGAATATAGCCTTAATTTAAAAAAAAGATTATAAAAAAATTACCTTTATTTAAATCACACTCATATTCTCTTTTGCGTGCTTTTAACTAGAGCATTTCTAAAATGAATGAATATTAAATAGATTAGTTTATACAATGCTATTGTTACAGGTAGCTCTACAAGTTCTCATCGTGACTTTAGATCACGACACCAGTAATGCCATCAATGAAGATTCAGATGAAGTAAGTTTTTTTTTATAAATTAAATTAATACTTATAATATAAAGAAAGGATAGAGTTACAACTCTATTAATTTTCTTTAACATGTATAGATCCAATATCTGCAATTATATTGTTTTCAATAAATTCATACTACTATTATAAATGTGAAAGTGTGTTTGTTTGTCCTTCTTTCACGTCGAAACTGAGTGACGGATTGGCGTGACTTTTTGTGTGGAGATAGTTGGAGGACTGGAGAGTGACATAGTCTACTTTATACCGCGTGATATTATCTTATTCCCACGGAAAAACACATATAATACAACCCACAATAACTCACCATACCTATGTCCATCCCAGGATCTCAAACTATCTTTTTACCAAATTTCATCTATATCTGTACAGTAGATCCAGAGATTACCCCCTACAACGTAAACAAACTCACAAACCTCTTTATAATAATCTTTATAATATATATATATATATATATATATATATATATATATATATATATATATAATCTATCTATTTATTACTAATTGTTAAAACGTACCCAGGGATGGTGAGTCGCTAGTAGATAATAATTATTTCCATTTTTTCCAGCGTCTACCAGACAACCTGTTCATCAACTACCTGTCCCGCATCCACCGCGACGAGGACTTCCAGTTCGCGCTGCGCGGCGTCACGCGCCTCCTCAACAACCCGCTGCAGCAGACCTACCTGCCCAACTCCAGCAAGAAGGTCGCTCTGCACCAGGAGCTGCTGGTCCTCTTCTGGAAGATGTGCGATTATAATAAGGTATTGTACATATATAGATAAATGCTTTGTTGTACACACAAAAGAAGAATTATTTGTTAATTTTAATCACTTTCATAATTGCAATTAGTTTTAATATTCAATATGGAATATCATATAGAATATTATAGAAATGTTTAAAATTAAATTTAACTAATATTGTAAGGTATCAAAAGTAAAAATAAAACCGCGAAAAAATCCGAAAAGATAGTTTTATTTAAAAGAATATAGAAGATGAAAAGAAAAAACTAACAAAAAGGCATGCAAAGGCAGTCTTATTGCTATGAGTTTTACATATTAGTATACTCTTACGTTGCAGTTTTGATATTTTTTTCAAAAATGCGATATTTTCCCGCGGTAAAAAGTATTCTATATGTTGCCCCGGATAACCAGCTATCACCAAACCAAATTTCATCAAAATCCCTCCAGTGGTTTTTCTGTGATGCGGTGATAGACAGACAGACAAAAATTCTAAAAACTATAGATTCGGCCTCTGTTTCGATAATAATGTCTATTTCAATAAGATTTTCCAAAAAATATTTAATGTACAAATTCAGCTTAGTTACAATTTTATTATATGTATAGATAAGAAATATCTGCTGTTTTTTGAATTTGCTTAAAGATTAGGTTTTTGTAATGATTTTTATTCATATACTTTTCAGAAATTCATGTACTATGTATTGAAAAGCAGTGATGTACTGGAAGTGTTGGTGCCCATATTGTATCACTTGAACGACTCGCGCGCAGATCAGTGTAAGCTATATTTTTTTAATATTCAATATATTATCATTATGCTATTTAGTAAGAAGGTTTTAGTGTGTATTATGTTACTATTGATTGTTAACAGTGTTTTTTTAAGTACATATCTATGGAATCTTAAATTATTACCTATTACATTATTAAATTTTACATTTGAGGTCAAACAGAAATTGTATAGAAAAAAAGAACTTTCCGTTTCTTTTGAATTACCCTACTTTCGGTCAAACTTGTTAAGTTAGAGAGTCGGTGGTGGCTTGCTCACGAACTTATATTGACATTTGACAAAAAATTTAACATTGTCTGTTCAAAATATTTGTTATATTTTACCAACTGCCTCTGTGGTCTAATGGCTACGATTGGCCACAAATCCGTAGGTCATTATTTTTAATAATCTATTTAAATAAAGTATTAAATTTACATATTAATTTCCTTCAGAAATTCTGAAGCGTGAGAATATATAAAAATAATGAAGTGCGGTGTAGGTACAAACTACAAACATCAATAATTATAATATACATAAGTATACACATAATTACAAACATACATACGTACGACGTACGTACATTGATATATGCAAACATATTTACAACATAGATACTTACACATACATACACATACTTCAAGAAATATATAATAAGGAAATCATGTGGAGTGACTTAGATAAAGTTCTTTTGAGCGTAAATTAAAAAGTTTTAGCGATGGATTGTTGTATTATGGATTTGATGGGAAACCCCGCGTGGTGCACAGCTCGCGTGGGGCTGATGCACATCGGCGTGTTCATCCTGCTGCTGCTGTCGGGCGAGCGCAACTTCGGCGTGCGCCTCAACAAGCCGTACAGCGCCAGCGTGCCCATGGACATCCCCGTGTTCACGGGCACGCACGCCGACCTGCTCGTCGTCGTCTTCCACAAGATCGTCACCACCGGCCACCAGCGGCTGCAGCCGCTGTTCGACTGCCTCCTCACTATACTGGTTAATGGTACGGTTTTTTTTTTGGGAATTGTTTATGAGATGAAACTTTTTTAGAATCTTTGTGATTTGAAACTCGATGAAACAGAAATGCGACACGAAAAAGAGACAAGCACATAAATATAATAGGATTAAGCCAGCGAGAGAATGAGATAGAATACATTGCCATGGTAACCGTTGTTATTTGAGATAGAATACATTACACAGGAAGTGAAAACTAATAAAATTAATTAATTGATAATGTGTAATGTATATTTATGTCAAATAAAATGTAAAATAACTTTTAAACTTGGTAAAAATATTATGAACACAATAAACGTTATAATTATCCTACTCCCTGATACTCTATATTCAGCTCATTCTCTCGTAGGTTTCTTTTCTGAATTTTCACTTCTACCATGTGTGATAATAATTTTTGTATGTTTTTTTATTTATTAACTACATAATAGATCTTGGAAATCGATAATAAGTTGCTCCTAATGGCTTAATTGATTATGGAGCTTTGTGCAGAAAATTTATATGATCTAACGATGGATTTATATGGTTTATGGATTTTTTCAATGGTTACTAGCTAGCTTTTAATCTTTGTGTCTGAGACGCGGATATCATAAATGTACGCCGTCTGCGCATATTCTGATAAAAAGACAATTTGCTTGCTTTCGTATATCAATACAAAAGCGCACTGTAGTGCCTTAAAAATCGTTGCCCAGATTTCAGGCTAACTTAATGATTCAACGAGTCCTATACTAAATTATAGCTATTACTAAAGTAAAGCAAGTACTTTAGTCGTTTCAATAGAATAGAAGAATTAGTCAAGTGCTTGTTTTTTTTTAGTTTCTTTTTTAATACCATAATAATAATTATTTTTTTAAGATTAATACATGAATTATATCCCGGCGTCTAAGGATTCAAAATGTTTAATTTATTCCAGTATCCCCCTACCTAAAGACATTATCAATGGTGTCATCCACCAAGCTCCTGCACCTGCTGGAAGCGTTCAGCACCCCCTGGTTCCTGTTCTCCAGGCCTCATCACCATCACCTCGTGTTCTTCCTATTGGAAATGTTCAATAACATGATACAGTATCAGTTTGATGGTAAGTTTTGATGTAGTTATTATTTTTTAGATTACTGTTATCTATACTAATATTATTAAGAGGTAAAGTTTGTGAGTTTGTGACGGTGTAAGGGGTAATCTCTGGATCTAATGAACCGATTTAGATGAAATTTGGTAAGAAGATAGTTTGAGATCCTGGGATGGACATAGGATACTTTTTATTTCGAAAATCATGCCTTAAGGGGGTGAAAATGGGAATTAAAGTTTGTATTGGGAATCAAGCTATTTTTTGTAGCTACCTACATTTTGTATTTAATGGGTGAAAATATATATTTTTTGTTTATTTACTTTAAAATCATTTTATTTTATGTATTCCGCTCTTATGTGGGGATGATTGTTTTTCTCGGCATCTGGAAAGTGTTATACCAGGAAATTAAAACTCTTTTCTTATTTTTATTAATGTATTTGATTTATATCCAAATCGATATGATAACTCCAGGCAACTCGAACCTGGTGTACACGATCATCCGCAAGCGCGCCGTGTTCCACAGCCTCGCCAACCTGCCGCACGAGCACGCCGCCATCGCGCGCTCGCTCGCCGCCGCGCGCAACGTCAAGCACGCCAAGGCCTTGCCCAGGTACACGCGCGCACACACACGTGCACGCACAACCACAAGTACACGTGCGCATATGGTGTAAACGCACGTACGCGCGCACACACACACATACAGTACACATACACAATTTCACGCTTTGTCCTTGCTTGGTAGACAAAAAGATAAATGTTCAATGCTATGTTTACATACCACTTTCGCCTGGTTTAGGTATGTACTAAACTACAATTTGGCGCTTAATAAGGAATAGATAGACTATGTATACATAGTATACATAGGTATGAGAAGTTTGACTCCCTTATTTGAGAAATGATTGGTTCCTCAACAAACGTTCAGTCGCCGCCACCCCCCCTCCCACCTTCACCTCCTTAAGAAATGATTTCCGGATAAAAACTATCCTATATCCTTTTCAAAGTCGCAAACTATCTCCATACCGAATTTCATCTATGAAAAGGTAACAGACAGAATTACTTTCGCATTTATGATATTATAATGTATACTACCATCCCCCGCAGGTCGCGCAGCACGGAGTCGGTGTCGGAGGCGGCCATGGAGGGCTCGCGGCCGGCGCAGCCCGCCGAGCCCGGCACGCTCAACGCCACCTTGCCTGAGACACCACGTAAACATACTTTCATTGATGTTTCCTTATTAGAAATACCGTTCAGAGATCGCTAATTTTAAAAATGATCTTGAGTTCAAACTTAATTCTCGTAAGTAGCCTCATTTAGAAGATTTTTACTGTACAAAATTTTAAGATAAGTGGTAGCTACCGCTATTAAGCAATAGAGAGCACTGATATAGATATCCGTTAGGAGTTCTCGCGGAAAAATTTCAAAGCTGAGTATTTTAAGGTCTATAGACATAACGACTTTTTAACGACCGCCATCGATATGCTACTAATGGGGAAATAACGCAACAGAAACGTACTGCGAACACAGTGCTACTACAACTTATTGTGCTTGTGCACACGTCGTAAAATTCTGGTTTGCACAATATTATTTTTTTACCTTTATCAGTATGTAGTAATGTGTACGTGGGACTCTCCTCCACATCAATCCTCGATGTCGTCATTGGACGAATGCGTTGAAATGAAAAAAAATAATGTTACTTGCGCACGTTTGTTGCTACTATTAAGTAACGCAACTTCTGTATTGTCATCCCATTGATACAAGCAGGGCTCGGAACCGGTGAACCGGTTTAAAAAAACGGTTAATTTCAGTAATGTCATTTTTAATTTATCGCTCGTTCATTAACCGGTCCATAAAAACGAATGATTTAGTCAACCGAAATAATAATCGTTAACGGTTATCCTAAGAGAAAGATTAAACTTAGGTTTTGATACCGAGTTAAACCGATTAATGCCAGAAACGTACATTTATTCTTTTACTAAGCAATTCACTATTAGCAAAGGTTAGCCAAATGAAGAAACGCGCAAAACTTATTTTAACCGGTTAATGTCGATCATGGGAACTAAATTCGTCAAAAACCGTATTCCGGGTTTGAACCATTTAAACAGCGTAACCGAAACCTTAAACCTTTCGGTTTGTGTCAATGTTCAAAACCCGTTTAAAAATTGAACGGGTTTCCGAACCCTGGTTACAGGCTTTGTCTAGTGAGTGTATGTAAGGAAGAGAGAAATGAAATGCTTGAGTGTCGAGGTTAATGCTAGGATTACATTTTTTTTATACTACTGGTATGAGGGAGACGCGTACCACTACATGTACCTTTAGACATGAAATATATTATAATCTATGTTTTTTTAGGCAGTGGTAGCCCAGTGGTAACGCGCTCGCTTGGGAAACCGAGGGAAGCGGGTTCAAATCCCGGGTCTCGCACCTCTGATATTTTCATGTGCGAATCATTTCTAACATGATTACCACTTACCTTACGGTGAAGGAAAACCTCGTGAGGAAACCTGCATGTCTGAGAGAACCTAGCAAGTTTTCGAAAGACATGTGAAGTCCGCCAACCCGCACTTGGCCAGCGTGGTGGACTATGGCCTGACCCCCCTCGTATTGAAGGGAGGCCCATGCCCAGCAGTGGGACATCAATAAGGGCTGAATACATACACGTTTTTTGGCAATAAAGTCATATATAATAATTACCATGCCACTCGCCAGCGATAGCGGCGATGACGGAGAAGGAGTCGGCGCACCCGCCGGCGCGCGAGCAGCTGCTGCCGCGCCGCGCCGGCGACGGGGAGGAGGGCACGCACGCCGTCGCACAGGTACAGTCTATGTTACAAGGTTATATCGCATGTTGTTTGTTATACCAGGGATGCCCAATTAAAAGATGATACAACTTTACTGACCGATTAATTTAATTACTATTTACAATGTCTATTGTTATTATGAGGAGGGGATTGTCATTACACTCGCGAACACTACTATATACTAGTGATGCACCGGATATCCGTATTCGCGGATATCTGTGGCAGTAAAAAAGATCTGTATCCGTACCCGTCACTTTTTGACGGATCTTGATCGGGATTCGAGCTTTTTTTGTCATTTTATTTCATTCGAATGAAATTTAAAGTGTATATAGCAATGAAACAATTTTGTATAATACCATTTAGATTATTATTTGTTTCTTAAAATCACATATTTGATACATCATTTGTTGTAGTGAGTTACAAACAAGCCTTATATCTTTACTAGCGGCTCACCCTCGCTTCGCTCGGGTTCGGCTCTAGGAAAACACTAATAGAGATCTTTAGTTCCTACGGGAACCGTTCATTTTTGCCGGATGAAAAGTAACCTGTTATTTGACCGGCAATATAAGATATCAGAATGTTAAATTTTACTTCTTCTTTCTTGCTGAGTGGCTACGGCATATAGAATATAGCCACCCCATATCTTCCCGTGGGAGTCGTAAAAGGCGACTAAGGGACAAACTACCGAACACCATGGTAGTCGCGGTGGTAGGCCTCAACATGGGCCGTCGGCACGGTTACCACCCGTCAGCAGAAGTCGTGCCGCCAAGCGCCCATAGCGTGTTCCGGCATGTAGGGGCTGATGAAGCCGTATGGGGAATGGGTCTGAATAGTTGTGTTGCATAGAAGCCGTGTTGGTGGTGGATCGTTGTTTGTCATGTCGAGAGCTTAGTCGCGGAGGGTAGCGGGATCCGAAGCACGGCTTGCCGCTGGCCGACCGCAGACAGTTGGGGGCCCAATTAGTGGGCAAGCCACCCATGAAAGGCTGCCCCGCCATCTGTGTAAAATCCCAGGGTGGCTCCATCGTGCTGGTTGGCGACCAGGGGAGGGGGCCCGATGGCGATCCTTGGGGGGGTTCGGGCGTCCCCGCAGTCTCCAGACTAAGCCCTCTATGACGTGACAGCATCTATATCACCGCCAGGCTCGTGCAGCGCCTCGTTCAACTGCCATTCTCCATCCTATTCACTCTTCCTTTTTAATAAATTCCATGACAAGACGCAAAAAGAGTAATGTTTTTAAGCGGCTGCACTCCCCCTCACTTAAAGTGCATCTCACAAATATACGAGGATTGCACACAAATCTCACATCAGTCCACTTCCACCTCGAGACTGCGCAGCCACACATGCTCTTTTTGACGGAGACGCAGATTCAATGTCCATTGAGCGCTGCGTACCTGGACTATCCCGGCTACACGTTGGAGCATAATTTCAGCTCACGGGCCGGAGTCTGTTTGTACATGCGAAATGACCTCTGTTTCCAGCGTCTCCGCCACCTTGAAGACCACACATTCTCTACAATCTGGATTATCGTAGATATAGGAATCGAAAAGATCCTGTATTGCTGTGTCTACCGATCGCACACAGGTGACCAGGAGACAACTCGATTATTTGAACATCTCAGTGAGGCCGCTGATGTGGCTATGCAACGGTACCCCACCGCGCAGCTTGTCTTTCTGGGGGACTTCAACGCCCATCATGAAGATTGGCTGTTCCCATACCAGAAGACGGACCATGCTGGGAGAGAAGCGTGGAAGTTTGCGGTGTCACTTGGACTCTCCCAATTGGTTGAACAAGCGACGAGGGTACCCGATGTAGACTGCCACTCAGCTAATTGTCTGGACCTTCTGCTAACAACTGATCCAGACAGATACAACATCCAGGTTTCATCCCCATTGGGTAGCTCTGACCACTGTCTGGTAAAAACTGTATCGTCTTACTCTCCACCAGATAACGACTCTACTGGTGTTAGACGAGTATGGCAATACAAGTCAGCAGATTGGGATGAGATGCGACACTTTTTTGCATCTTTTCCTTGGCGGCAGGTCTGCTTCTCTTCTTCCAATCCGTCGAGCTGTGCGGATGCTATAACTGATGTGGTGCATCAAGCGATGGAATATTTTATCCCGTTCTCTGATGTACCCGTTGGTGGCAAAGCTCGCCCATGGTTTAATGCCGAATGCACCATTGCTGAAAAGCGTAAGCAATCGGCTTACCTTGCCTGGGTTGATGCTCGAGACCGCAAAGCTCCGAATGTAAGATCCAAGAAGAGAGCCTTTAACTTGGCCGCTAAGTCCTACAAAAAGACATTAAAGAAGGCTCGTCTTGGCCGAACTACACATCTTGGCGCAAAGCTCTGTGCCCAACCATCTGGCAGCAGAGCTTTTTGGTCCCTTGCCAAAGCGGTCGAGACGAACTTCTCTCGGCCCTCACTGCCACCGCTGGTAAAATCTGACGGATCCCTGGCTCATACGGCAGAGGAAAAGGCGACTTTGCTTGCCTCTCTTTTTGCCCAAAATTCATGTCTAGACTCTGGCAATGCCATTCCACCACATCTACCTCACTGCGGGATCTCAATGCCTGAAATCTGCATAACTAATAAGGAGGTAAAGAGAGTATTGTGTAGTCTAGATGTGAATAAAGCCAGTGGTCCTGATGGTATACCAGCGATAGTGCTTAAAACTTGTGCTCCCGAGTTGTCTCCGATACTGACACGTCTGTACCGCCTTTCTCTTAAGACTGGAATAGTACCTAAATCCTGGAAGCTTGCCAACGTGCAACCAGTGCCCAAGAAAGGAAGCCGTGCTGACCCTACCAATTATCGTCCAATCTCAATCACCTCCATACTCTGCAAGATTATGGAGCGTGTATTGAACACACGTCTTATGGCATACCTAGAACAAAACGACCTCCTCAGTGATCGACAATATGGGTTTCGCCGGAACCGGTCAACTGGGGACCTTCTAGTGTGTGTCAATCACATCTTTGGCGAAGCTCTTGAGCGAAGCGGGGAGGCGATTGCCGTCTCCCTCGATGTCTCAAAGGCCTTTGATAGGGTCTGGCACGATAGCCTTATAAGCAAGCTTGCAGCCTATGGCATATCTCCTGGCCTGATCCGCTGGATTAAAGACTTCCTGAGCGACCGATCACTCAGAGTTGTGGTTGAGGGTTGTTCATCACAACCCTTAAAGACCAACTCAGGAGTTCCTCAGGGGTCTGTTCTCTCTGCAACCTTGTTCCTGCTGCATATTAACGATCTGCTTATACCCGGTATCTATGGGTACGCAGACGACAGCACTATTGTAGAGAGATACCTGCCGCATCCTCGGGCCAGTAGAGATCAAATTCAGTCCGAAAGAGAGGCCATGGTAGAGCGGTTGAATCTCACACTCAGGACAGTCTCCACTTGGGGTGATGCCAATCTTGTGAGTTTCAACGCCACCAAAACACAGGCGTGCCTGTTCACATCAAAACGGAGTCCTTTTACCTTGACCCCTACTTTCCGGAATGTGCCTCTGGAATACACTGACCGTCTGCAGTTGTTGGGCATGGACATTCGCCCCAATATGAACTACGGGCGGTTCATTGAGTCTAGGGCTAATGTCGCAGCGAGGAAAGTTGGCATACTAGCAAAGGTCCGACAGTATTTCACACCGGGACAGCTTCTTGTTTTATATAAAGCTCAAGTCCGGTCGTGTGTGGAATACTGTAGTCACATTTGGGCTGGTGCTGCGAAGTGCCATCTGTCAGCCTTAGACTCAATTGAGAGGCGTGCCCTCAGGCTTATTGGTGACCCTACGCTGGTAAAAGCTAACTTACAAAGCCTCGATCACCGACGTAGGGTTGCCAGCCTTTGTGTATTCTATAGGTTACATTTCGGAGAGTGTGCGCAGGAACTACACGGCTTGATTCCTCCATCTCCTTTCTACCATCGGACAACCCGACGAACGGCTGGTCTCCATCCTTATGTCGTGGACATTCCACCCGTCCGGACGAAGCGCTTCGCTACGTCATTCATTATACGTGCGGCTAAGGATTGGAACAACCTGTCGGCGTCGGTGTTTCCGTCCGAGTACAACATGGGTGTCTTCAAGGCAAGAGTGAATAGGTGGCTACTGAATTAGTGTGACTTACCATCTACGACTGCGTTACCACTTACCATCAGGTGGAACGCAGTCAAGCACTAATTCAGAATATAATAAAAAAAAAAAAAAAAAAAAAAATACTAAATTAGGTGCATAGGTTGTATAAGTTATTATAGTTTTTTAACTATCCCACGGGAACTATTTAATTTTCCGGTATAAAAAGATATCTAAGATGTTGCTCGGGGATATAAGGTACCACCATGCAAAATTTCATTTAAATCGGTCCAATAGATTCGGAGATTAGCCCGTACAAATAAACAAACAGACAGAAAAACAAAAAAATTGAAAAAAAAAACTGGATTTGTTCTATTGTGCTTCTTACGGTATTTTTATATTATTACGGTATTAGCATTTTAGCTATGTACAGACATTCGACCGCTACTGTTTTATTATAGTATAGGTTATAAAATATTAAAAATAATGAAATGTTTGAAAATTTACGATAGGTAGCTTGTTATATGAGCTCCGTATCCGTATCCGTATCCGCATTTGCGGATATTAAAACAATTATCCGTATTCGCGGATATACACTTTGAACGACGAACGGATATAAATTTTAACGAATTATATGTTATTTTTATTAGTGTAACTACATAATTAAGGAAAACATTTTTTTTTAGAAAGACACCCTGCGCATGTCGACGGGTGAGACGGACATGGGCGAGGGTAGAGAGGGCGGGGAGGAGGGCGCGGAGGCGTGGCGGCCCAGCGGCGAGTGGGTGGCGAGCTGGCGCGCGCGCCTGCCGCTGCAGACCATCATGCGCCTGCTGCAGGTGCTCGTGCCGCAGGTCGAGAAGATATGCATCGACAAGTGAGTTACACACACACACACAACAAACAGACACACACACATTTTGGTATTACCACTTGATGCAATTTACTGTCTATAGACTTATTATTAAGATGGACATGTGAGCACGCGCGGCTTTCTTGCTAGCGATACGCAGACTAACTTGATTTTATTTATTAATAATGAATGACACGCGTCGAGTAAAATGCTGAATTGCAACCGATGATGCAATGAAAGATGTTACCGTTACACTGTACACACACACAAACAAGTTCCCACACACACGTTCAAACACACGCTTGGCGTGTGCGTTTCTTTATTTTAACTAAATTCGTTTAAGGACGTCGGTGCCACTACTTTAAAGAATATTTGAATGTTTGATAATAGGCGAGTTATATTTGTAATATATAATGAAAAAAAAAACTGGAAAAAACGATATAACATTTTTTTGGGGTTCTAAATGTAATAATTTAACATTTTTGTAATGAACCCTTTCATATTTCAGACGTTCGCTCTGTAGCTCACTCTATTCAAGACTATTTGAAAAAAAAGCGTTCAATTTCAAATTGTGCACTTTTTTTGAAGACTCTTTTGATACTTATTGTGTACCTTAGGTTTTTGTATATAAATTGGTAATGCACACATTTTGGCCACATAACAATGAGGGCTATCGTTTCTGGCGGCACCAGTTGGCGCCACTGGCGAGTCAGGTCCTATCGCTGTCGTTAAATAGTATTTGCTAGTGCGGCAAGGCCATAAATTTAATATAATAGTAATAATAATTGTTGTGCGACACAAATTTATCAGAACTTTGTCTTAAATAAAATTAAATTGTAACCAAATAGATAAAATATTGACTGTTTCTTGATTCTTCTTTTAAAGCAATAACATTTGTTGAGACGTACTGTGAGTGTTATAATTAATTACGAATCGCATAATGCTTACAATAATTATGAGTAATTAGTGAAGATCCGCGATGAAAAGTTTGTAAACAGTAAACATTCAGTGTCATTTGACATTTCTAAAGATCTCTCCCTACACTAGCACCTCTCGCGTCGAATTCAAGAGCAGTGCCTCATTGCATCACGCAACGAATGTTATAATGAACACGTTATTTTTCATCATTACCACCCACACACTCACTAAAAACGCAATTATACTCGTAGGAATTGCATGACAATATATATTTTGTAAATTATTGTTTATCCTTAAATATTATAAGATATGTGTGTATATTTGGGGAGCAGGGGTCTGACGGACGAGTCGGAGATCCTGCGGTTCCTGCAGCACGGCACGCTGGTGGGGCTGCTGCCGGTGCCGCACCCCATCCTCATCCGCAAGTACCAGGCCAACGCCGGCACCGCCGCCTGGTTCCGCACCTACATGTGGGGCGTCATATACATACGGTATGGAGACACATATACATACACACATACATACATACATAACGGCTCAACGGGCTATAGTAAACTGTTATTACTTTATATACTTTCTGTGCCAGCGGTCGCGGGTTCGTGTCCCGTTGGGGACATTCATTTGTGTGATGAGCACGAATGTTGTACTCAGTCATGGCTGTTCAATATTCATATTTATAATATGTATATATATTTAAAGTTATATATGTGTAGTATGGCCGTGGTAGCCCAGTGGTAACGCGCTCGCTTGAGAAACCGAGTGAAATAAGTTCAAATCCCGGGTCTCGCACTTCTAATATTTTCAAGTGTGAATCATTTCCAATATGTTAACCACTTACGGTGAAGGAAAAAATGGTGAGGAAACTAGCATGTCTGAGGTGCATGTGGCCAGCTGCAGTGGGACATTAAAAAGGGCTGATTATATACTTACCGCGCGAATGAACATGCGAGCAAACTAATAAAAAACAAGAGCTAACTACTTTTCTTTTGCTAGATTTCCATGCTGCGGCATTTTTTTTATCCGAAATTAATTATACAATGTTAGCTTTCAAATGGCTAAATTAGGTTTCCTCAGATAATTGCGTATGTACAGTTCTATGAGAATGAGATCAACTAAACTACAATTATCATTTACGAAAACGTTTACTGCGGCGCCACTCGCGCTTACTTTAAACTGGCAGTAATTATTTTTTATTGTCTAAAATTTGACTTCATGCCTTGTACCATGTACGATTACATGCTTTAATATTTTTCTTTTATTACAAAATAACACTATAAATTATTATTACATAATTTTTTTTATTTAAGTGAAACTATTTTTAATATTTCAGGAACGTGGACCCTCCGATCTGGTACGACACAGACGTGAAGTTGTTTGAGATACAGCGGGTATGATCGTGCACGTATAAGTTTTATATCAATATATCTATTAGGAAAATGCCTCGTACAATTTTCAGTTTTACATCACAATTGGGTCACACTTATACTTTTTCTATCAACTATTTTGTATATCAAATATCTTTAATTTTTAGAGTCCGCTGTACATTGAGTACAAACAGATACTTACTTCTATGAATAATAGTAATCTATACAGATAAATAAAATTGAAGTGTCTGTTTGTAATGTCAAAATAACAGCTTTTTACTAAATGCATATGAAATTATATATGGTACCTATAAGGAAAAAGCAATTTTTGAAATTTTTGTCTATCTGTTTGTTCCGGCTAATCTCTGAAACGGCTGGATCGATTTTGACGGGACTTTCCCTGGCAGATAGTTGATGCTAAAGGAGTAACTTAGGCTACTTTTATTTTAGAAAAAGAATTAGGATTTCGCTCAAAAAATTAAGACGCACGTAGGGATGCACCCGAGCGAAGCGAGGGTAAATCGCTAGTGTCATAATAATTTCATTATTTCTTATTGTTTGTTTCTACTTCTCTATACTTTACTATATTTATTTTTAAATTACTCAGTTTTACTTCAATTCAAGCAAATTCAAGCAAATTGTGCAATTAGAACATAATATCTATAGGTAAAATATTACAATTTTTGTTTAGTTTATTCCTTTACAATGGTTTCATGTTTATTATACAAACTAAACAATAGGTAAAATTTCTTAACTTACATATGAATTTACTCCCCCAAGTATATTATAGGTGCGGTGTGACCCAATATATCTTAATTTTCTAGCTTTCGTGCCAGCTGTTGTAAAATATAATGTAAATGTTAGCGAAATCACTATTGTTATCGTTCTGATTGGAATACAAATCACACCACTACATATTTTAGTACCTTTTTCATCATATTTTTTTTGCTTTAGGAGCTAGCTATCTTTATAACTAAAAGATATCTATCAAAATGTTTAGAAATTCTATATGAATGGTTCAAACAAAGAACAGGGAATGTCAATTTTTTTGGTTTTTTTTTTGTACTGGTAGCGAATCTATGTCTATGGTAATTGCATTCCTATCCACTTGTTTTTACAAATACTCAACGGATGTCGCTAAGAATACGTTTTTATTCATGCCCAAAACGAAAAGAACTGGGAATATCCATGACATACCGGTAAAGAAGGAGGGTTGTCTAAAAATGTACATAGTTAAAAGTTGATCTATGCTTTGATCTCAATAAAAATATAACTTCTAAACTTTAAATTGCTTTTTCCTCATAATCTACTCGTTAGGACACTCCTGTTCTTTACCTGTACTCTTCATATGGACTGTATGGCAATAGGGAATATGCAAGATCCTTTTTAATTTTTTATACAACAGCTTACATCGTTATATAATTGTAAAAAATTATCCAGCTCTAAACAAAATATAGTTGAGTTTGATTTTTTTTAATATCATAACGATACGGATACTTTAACGCCTGCCATTTCTTACGCCTGGTGTGACGTAACAGTATATCATACTCAGACAAATGACTACTCTTGCTTGAACAAAATCACTTAATCGCTCTGTTATGACTGACCAATGGCGTTTCAAGAAATTTTCTGGCCTAGGGGGGGAGATGTAAAGAAATAAGATCTCTTTAATATGTTACTATTCTAAATTCTTTATAATAAATTTGAATTGAGGCGCTGTCAGACAGATGAGTGTCATAGTGTAAACATTTTTAAATGTGAAATTGTAAAAAATTAATAATTTTATTTGTAAAAAGGATTCGACAAAACCTGGCAATAACTTTTAATGTCGTTTCTTTGTATTTCAGAGCAACACATAAGTTTAATTTTTGCCGGTTCTTAAAAATCCCGACTTATAGTCTTATATACATATAATATAATAATTGATTATTACCAATCTTTTTAACTAATATATTTAAATACAATAAAATTAAACGATTCGAATGATAACAATAGTTTTATAGATATTAAATAAAATTCAAAGTGATTATCTCGATGAAATTTAAATAATGAATTTAATTTCAAAATTTTAAATGTTTATAATTTTTTAAATAAAAAAAGTATTACCCAATCTGTTGCCTGTTCTTTTTTTTTTCTTTTTAGACATTAATTTTTATTTTATGTAATATAAACGGTATCTTATGTAAAATAGTGAGATTATAAATTAAAAATTAATAAACGATTTTTAATATAGTAATCTTTTTGAACAAAGACCAATTTAAAATAAGCAATTTAATATTTAAGTGGCTTTGGTTGTTAAAATTAAAAAAAAATATTAGAAAAATTGGTAACAACAATTCAATTTAATTCTAAATTCGACATAAGCCACTTAAATGTAGATGCTGACTTAAAAAGATCTACATTATGTAAAACTAATAATACCTCATATTTGTGCATCAATAAATTCTTTTTTTGTATTTTTTTTGTAAAAATGAAAAAAAAACTTAAATGCGTAATTATGAAAAAAATTATAACTTATGTAGGTATGTTATAATATAACTTAATATTTTTTAACATCGAACCTATATGATTATTACAATACTTGCAATGGCAGATCCTACTAAAACTTTACTTATTGATTTTCCAATTTTAAAAGGTAAAACCTTGTTGAAAAAAATCAGATGTAATTTGTAAATCATTATAAATAATTTACACACTATAGCACGTTTTTATTATCTTTTTTTCTAATGAATTCTTAATATATTTGGATCTGCCATTTTCGAATATCTTCCACTCACAATATCTTTAAAATACGTAATTAAAATAATTAATTTTATTGTTTTGAAAAATTCAAACGAATATTATTTTTAATAATGATGTTTTATATTTTAAATGTAACGTGTCTTATGATATGAAGCGCTTAAAAATGCTTGTATGGACACCTAGTCATGATTATTTAATTTTTTTATATCCATTGATAAAATTGAACGGACATGACCTTTTACAAAATATGACTGTCATGTGTTTTATTATCGTTTTATTAAGTACTCTCAAAAATTTTGCAATTATTTAATGGTTGACATACTGTATGTATTTTTGTATAGATATGTATATTCCGTAAGGAGAACTATTAATTTATATGGAATTGAAAAAGTGTCGTATCTGTAAGCGTAGCAACAGAGTGTGATATGAAATTAGCAGTTGTAAGCGGAGTGAAGTGTGCAGAGTTGAAAAATTTAATATTTTGGGTGACTCGAGTAGTTATTGAAACGTTTTACGTAGTCCAAAATAATTTAGTAAATATAAGCAAAAAGACTGTGGTGATAGTGATTTTTGTGAAATTTTAATAATTCTTTCTTCGAAATCTTGCTACCCTAATCCGGCCTAATGGCGCCATCCTAACTTAACGCTTTTCGACGGACATTTTTTCATCACAGAGATAGTTCTCCTTACTTCTATTCTCCATAATATTCAGGACCATTTCATAGACAAAATAAAGCTGTATTGGATGAAAATCGTATCTTTTACAAAAGAGCTGGATTCCAATGCTAATACTCTATAATAAAATAAAATTCGCTAATTGTAAATATTTTTTTATCCTATAAATCTTCTTCATAGCTGATAATTCTCTTCATTACATTGTTTTGAGACTTACTGTAAATTATAAACTATCTAATATATAGTGCATCCGAGTAATCGATCCAAAAAGTATATACACCATCAGCGACAAAAATGTCCTCACCGAATGAGCGCATATATGAACATTTGAGTGCGCTTTTATTTAATAAAATGTTTGTGAAAACAACTTTAGGCATTGCGTTCAAATATATTTAATCAATAATACTGGAATAATTACCTAAGCACAATTGGTGACAGTTTTAAGAAAACTTTTGAATGCGATTGTGTATCTCTAGTACTTTTTGATCGATGTTCCGGAGTTAATAACAAATGATAAATTAAAAAAAACCGACCATCTTGGACCGATTTTTATCAAACAGCTAAGAACACTTCCGACTAATTCACCTTTCAAACAAAAAAAAAACAAAATCAAAATCGGTTCATCCGTTCGGGAGCTACGATGCCACACACAGACACGTCAAACTTATAATATCCCGTCGTTTTGCGTCGGGGGTTCAAAAAGGTCATGTCCTTAATTGTCAATGGAGATACACAATGTATGATATATTATAATAAGAAATGGCTATTTTGATTTAATTGGCATTTATTTATTACATTCCATTGTTTTGTAATAACTAATATATTCATTATAAGTATTAATCGAATATGTTAAATGTCTCGAGAAATAAACCTACATTTACACTCTATGCTACCATTTTAAATAGCTGGTTTAATTTACTCTTGCATAAATAATGCCGAAGTAATATATTTGTAAAAATATGTATTAATTCATGTTTATTTCTTCTGCAAAGTACCAAATAAATGCATTTTGTTGTAAGTTCTCATTAATGCACTATTTATATATAGCGTTATGTAGCTAGATTAAATATATTTATTTTATTATATCACTAATGTACTTAATTAACGTTATTGGTTTTGAATATATGAAAATGTGAGCTTGAGAGTTTTTTTTTATCTTTCCATATCATTTTCTTTGATAAAATTATGTACGGCTTTTTTTAATATACTACGAGTACAATGACAGTCTACTTCCACGGAGGTTGTAACTTGTAGGTTCGATTCTTGCACTACATGTGTTGGCTTCTCCGAAACATTTTTATTTCCTTAAGAAGTAAATTGACTTACTTATTGTTTACTTTTTACTTCAATTATTATTTACTTGTAGAATCTAACTCTGTTTACATTTTTAAATGACATTAAATTATGGGATCATTTTGCAATAATGATAACATTAAGAAAAATACTGACGATTCTTGTGAAGCTACAAAAGAACATTTGTTTAATTATCCCTAGTTTTTTTTATTTGATTACATTAAATATTTTTAAAGCAAGTTTTTATACATATCATAATTTTCACATAATAAACATTTAACACAAGTTTGTGGTACAACTTTTGCGGTTAAGACCGT